CTTACTATAATAGAAAAAAAACATTAAAAAGCCATTTAACAGTAGTTAATGGAATTAAAATTAAACTCAAGACATGCAGAAGCATTTTTGGTTCGTTTTGTAGGCAACAGATCACAAGTCGGTCTTGGTCAGCAAACGCAATCGAGGTGTGTGAGGTACCCCAGACGAGACTTCAAATTATTAATGAATTATATTGTGCTTTCTTAGAAAACGGAGAAGAAAAATCTGAAAAATGAGCATTTTGTAGCACAGGAGCCCAAGGCTGTAGTTTTTTCACATCCATCAGCATTAAAGCATTTACAAAAGCCTGCTGTGGCTCCTGACGTATTGTGCGTTTTGTTGCTTTCTCACACCGTGATTGGTAGATAATACAAAAACAAATTCTCTAAAAGAACGCCATTTGCATTTTCGAACCTTATTTCAGACCTCCTTTTCAACGAAGGAAAGGAATGCGGCTATTTTTTCCTGCTCACGTTTGCATTACTGGTCAGATCCAATCGGGCTCCATCGAGCCCGCGGCCAGCTGGAAGCGAGGCCGCTGACAGGAGAATCCGTCCTTCCGCACAGGAACAGCGAGCCACCCATCGGCCACAACAGAGACTCGGCTCCTGACAGCTAGCAAATGAAAATGTAAATACTGGCCCTGTTCCGAAGTTCTGAGACCCAACAGTTTCTGACAGTCCCTGCCGTGTGATAAACACTGTCCGTCTCGGGCTACCTTTTATTTGAAAGCTATGACAAACATTTTGGCTGAAATGTAAATACGTGAGCTCATGACTGGTAAGTGCAGATCTGAAAAAGTTATCTGAAATTTGGAAAAACAAAAATCTGGTTTGACACAAAATAAACCATTTAGCGGTCACAGAGGGAGCAGCGCACAGAGGTCAAAAACTTCTGCGGACGAACTGAAGGAGGGGGAGGGGTGGGGGCGGTCAGGTATTGCTGAAGATGTCATTTTAATGAGACGAGAAGGGCACATTCAAACTATGTGACAAGTAGAAAAACGTTTCAGCCAAGTGAGACAGCGAACATTTGACTGAGGCGTGCTTTTGTCCCGAGCAGCGAAGCGAGACGTATTGGTAAATAACAGATTCTTGACACCAGGCTGATGGAGGTATGCTGTTTATTTTTCTTTGCTCAGGGATTAGAACAGGAAGCCGGTGTTGCAGGCCACACTACTGCCCTAACTCTGTGAGCTGACACTCTAGATACAAGAGGGAGCTTAAAGAAAGGTTACCTCTAGGCCTTGCTGCGGGCCTGGCACTGAACAACTGCTGGGTCCTTGTCTTGGCTCTACATGTGCGACAGGACTACATTGTTCCAGATGCCGGCAAAGGATGAGATGCTGACAACTTTTAATACGTCTTTTGCATAAAAGGGCAACTCACTAATGACGGTGGTGTTGGTGGGTAAAAGAAAAAGAAAAAAATAAATTAATATATTTGCCTGCTTTTATCCCATCTAATGTTCTATGCTTCAGAGCACAGAAAAAAAGAAACTGTCCCTCAACACAAGATGGGGAACAGGTAAAAGTTTATTCCATGCTGAAAAGAAAAGAGACACAAGTGAGAGGGTGTGAGGGTACAGTAACACTCAAACTGTCTAACAGGTATTGGCAATTTCACCTTCCTATTCCCATTTCTTTATTCTCTCTTCTAATCTCATTTTTTTACCAGACACTGTGATGCAACAGCCTGGATTTTTACTTGCCATTTGAACTAAATGATATTCAAATCAGCGGCACAACAAGCCAGGAAACCTTAACTATTTACAGGGGATGAAGACAGACCACAAATCTAAGTGCCCATGTCCAATGTGCATTTTTATAGCCCACACAAGACACGAGTGGGACATTTTAGGCAAAAAAACAAGTTGCAATACAATCTGCGACAGGATGGATTTAAGTCGCTGCTCAGCTTTTGACTACAGTCACAGCAGCACTTCTAATTGGAGAGGAGGCCCCAGGCTGTGTCCACCCCCTAGGCCCACTCCTGTCCCTGCCCAGCTCATTAACACAAACACATCATCTTAACACACCGTCAGTCTATCCGACAGCTTGTACGCTTACTGCTTCCTGCCTGCCTCCCACTCACCCCCCCTCCCCACTTAAACCACTCCATCACAGGTGCTTCTTTTTTCTCCCTCTCCTTCCTCTCTGCCTCTCCTTGGGGAAATTCATTAACAGCATCTATCCCCTCCCTCTAGTCAATGATTGGCACCATCATCTTTCCATCCTCCGCCCTCCAACATGCGAGATGTGTCTTCTGATTTCTTGACCCGCGAGTTAGCAGGAGAATTACAGCTCGCCACTAGAAGCGACTGTATATTTTCCTCTTCATAAACACTGTGACAGCTGCTCGAATCAGTCTTCCCTGACCTTATTGATCAGGACGTGCTGGGAGTAATGAGACTTCACCAGTGACAGGGTAAATGGCCTCTTGCTAAACATAATGTGCAAAGGGAGCTGGAAGTCTGAACAACAGCTGTACTTGCTTATTTGTTTAAAGCTAATTTCCCTCTAGTCATTAATACTGTACTTTTAGCACTCAATTCTATAATTAGCTGCTTAGGACTATGATACCATTTAACAAAAGGTTTTCTAAGACAATAACATGGCTGCTTGTTGCTCTCCTGATTCACAGAATTAGTCAGTCTTCTTAATATCACTACAACAGCATCATTGCCTTAAAAGACACTGCCATTTCCCAATAACCGTGATCTTCATTTTTAAAACAAGCTGAGACTTTTCAGTTCTGACAATATTTGTTATTCGTTGTCTTTGTTACATAAAATAATCACCTGCAACGGGATATGCTTAGGATTTAGGAAGACACTGTACCAGTTCTCTTTTTATGGGGAAGAGACAATGTTTTAATTATTTTATTAGATGTTCTATATCATCTGACTTCTGAAACAGAATCCATACATACAATATTTGACATACAGTAGATTTGTATATTTCATACATGTATATATGGTTCTTATAATTATAAACCTTATGCATGCTACAAGCAGTAGTCTTACTGTTCAATAATTAGTAAGAAGTACTGTTCACTAAGAAACATGTTTGGTCAAAATCCTGTTTATTTCCCCATTGCAGTTGGTGGAGGCTGTAACTTTTCAATGAGAAAGTTGAGTGTGTTGCATTCCTGCAGACCTCAACAGTGACATCTGAGTAACAGAAGAAGGTGCAGAAGAAATGCTGAATATCTTTGTTGATGACATCAAGAGGGCAGAGTGAATAATCCAAAGTGGTATCCACCCAAATTGAATTTGTACGGACAATTAGCTTATAGTTCTAGCATTCTAACCGTTATGTCAAAATACATTTCAAATTTCAATTAAAAAATCAGCTTGTGACAAATAAGCAGGGCACCTTCCAGGGAATGTCCGAGGATGACTTACTTGTTCCACATTGTTCTACAACACGAGACTTGCTGTGGGTTTTTTTTAAATTGCTCCTGCCATTAGGGGGCAGGAAATAAGAAAAAAAAATCACATTCAGGGGCCTTGAAAAATGAGACTTTGAGATGTTTCACATTTTGAAGAAATGATTTCCCTGGCAGTTTGTGTAAATGTCATACAATGACATGCACTGTCAACAGGTGACCGGACGCAAGCTCAAAGCTGCAGCTCCTTCTCTCTGTAAAGGTTCATGAACAACAGATAAGAAGCTCAGTTGGGCATGCTATTATTTCTTTCTTATTTTGGTCGATGTCCAAATTAGTCTGGGTATTCCATTTACTACTGATGGCTCCAGACATTTTAGAGGTAGCTCAGCAAACCACAGTGAATCAAGTCATTTTTTTACTCCTACGTATTCAACCGACCGTATGAAATAAACACTTGGGCCATTTCTGATTACCGGTCAGGAGATGACCTGAAATGAAATGGGTGTTCGATATAGTTGCATATGATCGGACATTTTATTATTTTGCTCTTCACTAGATAATATAGTCAATGGTGTATTTACTATACAATGCTTTTACTAAGTTGGAAAAATCACAAGACTCCCTTAATTTTTGTTTGCTTCTAAAAAAAAAGCTGCATCAACAAGTTAAGATTGTATATTGTACTATTACTAAAATGCATTCTAACGGGCATTTTCTAAGCAAACACATAATTTGTAATGTTGAAAGGTTAGAGAAAATCAAGATCATGTAAGCAAGGCATCCACTGGTGTTCCACAGATTCAGTTGTGTCGAGATCATTTTCTGATGTCTGATAATTCAAATGGATTATAATATAAAGTCCTTGTTGAAGAGCCATATTAATGTTCTTTAAATAAAACCTGCTACTGTTTAAATTAACATATATGAGAAGACCAGTACATTTGTTGTACCTTATTCGGCATTTCCCGATCAATTAAGTGGGACCAGAGATCTTTTATATCAGTAACATCTATTTTTTTTGACAATGACTACCAGATTTGGCCTTCAATAGGAACAGTCTGGTAGAGAAAGACTTTAGTGAATACTAGCCACATTTCTTGAAAGGTGCTGGGAAATGGGTTCATTAGGAGATTAAAATATGTTTCAGGGATGAGTGGGGATTTCAGTACCATAAACTCATCTCAGCAGACAGGGACTGAGATGTGAGCTGTATTACAGCTTGAAAAGCACTAGTTGTGCTCAGTCTCTGTAGTACAGGAAATGATGAAAAGGAATGAACGGACTTGAAAAGACAGAATCATCACAGCTGCTGTATGCATTAAGACACGAAACAAAAGCAGAAGTGTAATTACTTAATTAGGGGAAAAAATCAAAGCCATCTTGGCTTCTTCACTGCTAAAATTGCTTGCATTATTTTGCAAAACAGAAGAGAACTGGAATAAAAGAAATCCTAAAAATATCCTTTCAACCTCTATGTTGGACTTTTGTTCTTTTTCACTGTAATTTTTAAGAACCCTTGTTATGCTCCAGCAATGAACCTCTATCGCAGCACTGGGTGTGTACCTCAGATTGTCTGTGAGGAGTACAGAGCTGATGGAGTCAGGGTACCTGTTTCTCCAAGATGCGGGAGGTCTCGCCCAGAGTCCTGTCCAGGCCCGACACCTTGTTGCTCGGCCACTGACCACTGTCCTGCCCCTGGAGTTGTTTCACCAAGTCCTTCACCAGTCGCTGGAGCCTGAGGAGCCAATGAAAGGATATTTCTCACAAACAAGTTGCGCCTTTTAACAAAATGATTGAGTCACAAATTCACAGTCCTGCCCGGTCTCCCTGGCAATCACACCCAACAGAAACGTTGTCTCTCTGGGGCAGAAGACTGCAGCAGTCAGCTAAAGCAATTCACACAGCCCCACATGTGACCTGGGTACGTCAATGTCCTTTGTGAATGACAATGCGCAAGCATCAAAAGCAAAATTAAAACATACAAATATGCTCCTGGTATAACAATTAGCAAAAACAACATAAATAACAGCCCCATGCCACATTAAAATGAGTTTTCTAGAATGGAATTCTCCAGTTGTCTTACCACACTCATATTATGACCAAATGCATTAGGGCGTTCAGATGCATGAGGCTAAGAGTATATTTGTGTGGCCCAGATCTGGCAACTAGTGTTTCTTAATTTTTTTATTATGCCAAGGCTCCTTACTTTAATGAGGCCAAGCTCTGTAAAAAGCATTTAATGTACATTATAAATCATGGCCTACTGAAGGACTATGTGGGCCTAGAGCAACCTAAGTAACCTTTATAAATGTCCGCCTCTAGTTTTAGGTGGTCAAGCACAAAGGTAAGCCTGCAGTCTTGATTACTTACTTGGCTTTGTATGGAGAGTCAGGGATGTGAGCCTTTGCTTCCAGAGAGGTCTCATACTCTTTTCCCCTGGAGATGAAGAAAAACAGTTACTTCATATCCAAGGGAGAAAAAACACCCCCCCCATTCTTGATAACAAGACTGTTGAGAAGATAAGAAAACACTGGGGACAGGAAAAGGTCATTAAGCCAAACAAAGCCTGACACTTCTGTTTATTTTTCCTGTCTCTGCCTTCCAGCTTGTACTACAGACCTCTTTTCTTTCGGGCTACTTGGAAAGAAGTGCACAGAAAGCTAACAAACCACATGAAGGGCAAGTTTTGCTCTTCAGTGTATTCCGGTCCGGACTCTGCAGGGCAGTCTAATCCCAGCTTCAGGAAAACAGGTGTTGATGGAAGCAGGCCCTGTCTGATGCACTTTCTGTGCTTCTGCTGGTGATGACAAGTTATTACACCAAATGAAAACGAGATCAGTGGGAGATGCGGTCAGTAACAACAACCAGGGCATTCTTCTGACAACAGGAATAAAATAAAATAACGAGGAAAGAGACCTTGGAAGTTGCTCAATTACAACATTCTCATCATTTAACAGTGTCTTCTGACATATTGTTGTTGTAAGCCTAAATGTCCTGATAAAAACCCTGGCCTTGTAATAACAATTAGCCCTTGAGCCAGAGTATGGCAAGAGGCGGCTGCTTTCTCAAGGGGTTGAGTAGGGAGCTGTCTTTTACTGGGCCCCATGATAGCTGATAAGAACAGTCAATGAAATCCTGCCAGACAGTCGAAGGATTTACTGTCAGCAACCAGGAGATAAACCGAAAAGGTTTCAGGAAGATGAGAGGTTACGCTGTAATATATTCCCAGAAAACTAACCCCCCGTCTGTCTGAATTCATTTTTTTGGTCAATGAATGAGTTTCCTTTGGACTAGTGACATGATGCGCAAGGTTAGACAGATGAAATAGGAAACGAAATAACAGAGTATTTAAAGCACTGAACAAAAACTGAAATACATAGCTGAACCCGTAATCTCCTTACTCCATGAAATTAGATACATGAAATAAAGAAATTACTAAATTCCTTCCTAATGCTGCAATTGAATTTGCATAGAACAAGAACGCACACCACTGTGTTGTGGGATTAATGAGTGGTATAAGGTTAGATTTTTACACAGACATTTTGCATCTTTTGCATAGCTTACTGTGAAATTATAGATTTCTTTGTTTCTTTAGTCACCCCCATTATAGCCAACCACCCATTATCTGAAAGCTCCTTGTCCAGAAGAGAGTGACGGTAGCCTGAAAGCCATCCCAAAAGTACCGGGCATAAGGCAGCACTGAGAGCAGGTGACAGCTCTTGGCCAGCATGGGTTTGCAGGGCCAAGAGAAAGGAACAATTTAGAGACACCAATTAATTAAGCTAGTATTTCTTTGGAGGTGGAAAAAACACAGAGGATCTGGGATAAAAAAAAACCACATGAATGAGGGAAGATCATGCTAACTCCCCAAAGAAGGATTCCCCTATATAATAAGCTAACTTATATGCCACTGTACATCCCCATCTTTATTACAGGCCAAGAAATACCTACCAGCCAAAAAGGCACTACTGAGGATCCAAAAGACAACTTTGCTGCCCAAAAGAAGTTACCGAAATACCCACTCAAATCACAAACTGCCTATGGCCATTCATATGTCATCTAATCCCCCAACTTTAAGGTATTGGAAAACACAAATAACAGGGCTATTTTATCTTATTAGAATATTTTATTATTTATTATCTTAAAAAGCTATTATTTAATTTGATAAATTGAAGAACACTTTTCAACCTGGTTGTATTGGGTTATTAAATAATTTTTCAAGTATTATCAGTATACACCACTTTAATTTTACCTGCAAGATTCCACTCTGACCATGTCATCCTGAAATTTTGCAGTACAATATCCTGCTGTTAAACCCAAAACTACCGCTGAGGTTTCCATTCATCAGCTTGTGATTCTCCAATTTGTCATCAGATATGCAAATATTTCCGTGATCTGGTTTGTGGAAACAGAACGAGCTTGCTTTCGCATGTTGGCTGCTTTTCAGTTTAACCCTGTAATATCCAGAGATGATTAAAGAAATATACAATTACATTTTAAAGAAAAAAAAAGGACAATCAATCAATTTCTTAATTGATTAATAAAATTGATTAATCTCTTAAACCAAACAACACTATGAAGTAATACTAAAACCAGGAATAAATGTATTTAGAAGTTCAAGCAGGTAGTTGCATCAGCAAGCCTAGGCTGTAAAGGAACAGGTAAAGGTTTATTCCATGCTGAAATGTTTCATTATTGGTTCCATAAATGTATTTATAAACATGAAACAATTCTTCCTGTCAATAATATTTAGAGACAAGACAGAACAAAAAATATATATTTCGCCGTCACACCATCGCATGATTTAAAAATACAAAAAGGGAGTATCAAATTGTTTTGGTAGGACTTCATGGAATAAATCATTAATAATCATAAAAATATTCAACTAAAGTACATCCCATTTCTAAGAAGTGTTGACATGAATTCCAAACACATTAGTTTCCTAGGGTCAAATGTATTCTTCAGATATTTAAAGGAAGACTAACTGTTTTAACCTAACTTAAAAAGAAACTCATTCACTGGAAGTGGGCTCACCTGTATTGGAAGTATCTGCACTACTCTGAAAATCTCTTTGCAGGAGAATGCTCCCACTGAACTATACAACTGGGCCTAATCAATGGCGTGGCCTCAAATTTCTAAACTATAAAGATTAAAGGGGAACACAAAAACATTTCTTTTTAAAAATGAGATAAACTACAACTTGATCGGGGATAAAATAAGAAATGAACCTAAACAAAGCATCTGTGGCACTCCAGCAGTTTCGATGGGCGCTCCACAGTTCCTCAAACATTTTCCCACTCGAGTGACTCAGGCTCTTCCTGGTTCAACGGCAGAGAACGGCTGTCAAAACTTCAGCGGGTGACGTCGCGCGGCCGCGGTTTGGAAGTGTTCATGAGAGAGAGCGGGGCATGTTTCTCGCCCGCTCCTTCATGAAAACCCTTGACTGAGCGGACCTGTTCAGACGCTCATTGGAGGATGTCTGTTTGTGCTGGCGGAGGGCCAGCGCTGCGGAGGAGCTGAGACAGGACCACTCCAGAGGCTCCAACATGCCTGGGACCAACAGGTGGAAGCCTTCAGCTGTCTATCACTCTCTGCGAGACCTCCCTTCGCTGCCTCCCGTCGGCACTGGGAAACTGGCCTGATGCCAGCAGAGCCCCCGTAGTGGAGGTTAATAGAAGAGATGGGGCACCACTAAGCAATAATCTAAAGACAGCATATTTTAATGGTGTATCGCAAAAAAAAAAATGGAACTGGAAAAACTAGAGCAAAACTGGAAACCGACAATTACTGTATTTCTTTATCTGTTTGGGGGGAAGAAAACCAGACAGAATACTAGCCCTGTGCCAAAAACCCTCAGGAGAAGTGGCAACACAGTAGAACAAAAATAACTTGAGTTCTGATGAGCAATCTTTTATTGCTGCTGGGAACAGTTACCTTACTTTGTAGCCTGTAATTATAATACTTAGGTATGTCGATTCCCATAAAACTCTGCATGAATGTGGCTATATTGGCGATTCACATGGGGTGCATTATTTTACCCCTGAAAAGAGTAAAGATATGAATGGCAAGTGCAATAACAAAAGTTTGTCTCATAAATTTATTAATAACTTGATGCAATAAAAACAAAACTTTAAAGACCACAGTAGTTGAGTGTGAAGTAAGACCTAAGATTTTAACTGCATTATTTCCAGATGTGCAATTGTTGTGAATGAGTTCTGGGGCCAGGTACTGCAGATCCATGAACTCCTCTGGACTAGCTGCACTTTAAATGAAAATGCACGACTAAAATGAAACGTTACAAGAAATATACATGCAACATACAAGAAATACATGCAAGAAATATGTATCTATTACTTTGAAATACTTTACTCTGGTATTGGATGTCTTTGAAAAAGCTGTCCACTTTTCTCCCTTTTAGCTTGCAAAGCTAACTGCTGAATTGAAAAATTTACGTTAAACAGATTAGACCACCAGTCTATCTTGCCTTTCATCGCTTTTCCCGCCTATTCAGACATTTTAATTATTTATCAGTGGCCCTCCCAAAACGTCTCAAATGAACAGTTTCTGAATGAAAAACCTCTTGCTTTGGTCGGGCTTCTTAGGGTAGGGAGAGACACCATCCCCATAACAGCGGGGATGGTATTTAGAAATCAATTTGCAGAGCAAATGAACTGTAATTCAATAACAGGGAGGCTTCGGGCACCATAGCAGGCTTTAATTACTGCTGCACATGTGCAGAAGCTGAGCCCCACCAGATCACGCAAGGGAACAGGAAATCACTTTCGCTTTACACCACAAGACCTGTAAAGGAACACAGATGTGGCATTATACTCACAGATCCCATCAAATCCACTCAATGTGGTCCCTCAGCTCCTTTCCAGAATATGTGATAACAGAGTTGGCACAAAAACAATCCTATACAAATTAGGTATATGTTTGGACGCTAAAGACAACCAAAGATGGGGTTTCGAAAATCAGGGAATAAAATTGAGCTCTTTCAGGCTCTAGGATTCTGGGGCTACCAATAGAAAAGTGAAAACCCCTCGGGGGGGAGGGATACATACAAAATGAAACCTTTTAGCTTAAGGATCATCCACCCTTGAAAAACAACACTTTTCCCCCCACCTGAAAACAAAGAAAAGACACTGCCAAGAACACAGAGCATTAATAACGTCAATAAAAAGATCTGGATCCAGAGTTCTGACAGTGTCTGTATGTAGGTCTGACCGTTCAGATCTAAGCCAGCACTGCAAAGAAGGCAGCTCATTTATGACAAAAGCTCATCCCTTTCTATATACCTGTGTATGGAAATTGTATGGATCATTTCCACACACCAGTGTTCCAGACCACTGGCTCTTACATTTATGACCCCTCATAAGAATACTCCTTTACACAAAACGTTTATAGTAGAGTGTGTCGGGAATGGGATTTCCAGTCCTGTGGTTGATGCCCAAAGGGTGAAATTCTACATTCTCTTAAACTACCAAAGAAGCAGGATGGGCCAAGTTGATGGCCTCCTCTCATTTGTAATTTTTCTTATGTTGGGAAAGTTACACCATGTTCAAGCTCAATACTTTGTTGCAGCAGAGGCCCTACAAGACACACGGAGGAGACTGGGGAACACTTGCTGCAAACCTCCAATCAGGGCAAAATATATTTTCAATTGGCTTATGCAGAGCCGATACCGTCATTCACAAGTGCACGATCTAGTGATTCAAACTTCTGCTTCTCGGCTGCTAACAGATTTTGCCTCTGTACCATTCATTAGCCCGTTATCTTTTAAAATTTTGTTGCTGCCGTCGATTCTAAAAACACAATGGGGGCAAAATCAAATCAAAGCCACTTCTTATAGTTTTTGCTTTCGTGATGCGATCCTTAAAAATAACTCTAGATACAATCTGTTCCATTGTGTGTTCCGATAGAAGGACACGTCCAGGTAAATAGCAGATCACACAGGTGCAGAATAAAATACTTGGCAACTTTTTGTCTAATGAAATGTTATGTGTACAGTTTAGCACTAACAGAGCTAAAATCATTCAGGGGCTATCCCTTGCATTCAAAGATGATCATCTTTAAAGATTAAAGGGGCTGATAAAAACAACTGATACTAAGAATTATTATGATATTAAAATATTTTTTCCCATTGTTGCTATAGTATTCAGTATTCTACAGTGTGCTTCCAAAACATCTGAATACTAATTTTTACAGATACTTAAACATCTAGAACTAATTGCTAAAATACTTCAGTACGAAATGATCTGTTCGCTACCTTGTTTCCACAGTCTTGTTTTTGATGAAATTCATGAATTATGCGAGTTAATGGGTTTTATTAGGTGCTACTGTCCTCGTGACATCATGAAAACAATCAGACTGGTTTTGATGCTGAAAAGTGGCTTGAAAACGGGACTCGTGGTCTCCTGAAACATTTCCTAGCCAATGTTCCTGGAAAAGTGGCATCATCTTCTGCCAGCTTTACTTTGCTCCCTGAGAATCCAAACTGAAGCTAATGCCCTCAGACAAAGGGAAAAGAACAGATCACAACACAAGGACCTACTGTACTCTATGAAAGAACGTTCTTGGCATTTGAAAAATAGTTCATTTCTGAAGTATACCAACATTAGAAATATGCATCACTGAATTTTCAAGTAAGGGTGCATTTGAACATATTAATCAAGTCGATAAAAGCAAGAAAAAGCAGACAAATCTGTTCAGTTTTCACATGGAGCTTTGACAATATCCTGCCTCCTCATCAGTGTAGATATTACACTATTCTGCTGTGACAGGTTTACACTCCTAGAGGTTAAATGGGGAGCAATTGCTAAGCAATATATTATCTGCTACAGCAGTCTGAGTTAAATGGGGTAGGGTTATAAATATTAGTAATCAGTTTAAGAAAAAAAACACAAAAGCTACAATGCAGAACTAATAATCAATTCATCATGAGCTGTCCCTCCATTCACCTTTACTGGCAGTGCATACAGACAGCTCATACCATAAAAATGTGCCTGGTAGGATATGTATTTATAAAGTTGCTTACATGAAAATGACAGTACACATATATCTACTTTAAAGGTACCGTGAACACTTGTAATCAGTACTCAAGAGCTATCAACCAAGCACAGAATAAAAGGCAATTAAATTACGGCTGCTGGACTTCTCACAAATATTCTTGCAGGTGGTGGCTACAACTGTGGGTCAAAATGTTCACACCATGCCCACAGACCTGGTCAAAAAGCTAGTCTCGCCAGACTTTTTTTGGTAAGATTGCAGGACATGGCCTGTCTTGAATTGTGGAGGGAGACTCAAAACTTCTTTAGTTAGAAAGAAGGCATGTGGCTGAAAACCTGAAACAGCGCATCACCATTTAAAGCAAGAGAGAACTGCACTTATCCAACAAAAGACAAGGCCACTACTAACAACCAAAACAGATCTTAACAAAGCTTTCTACTATATTTTCCAGAGCACTGACGACCGGCTTGTTGGCACACCGCTGATCTGGCTTAGACTAAGCACAGGAATGCTCTATCCCAACAGTTAAAGGATCTGTGGTGTCAGGTTTGCGAGCTGGATCATTTGGTATGAGAGCAAGGACTACGACACTTTCCCATTCTTTGTCCGGTTCAATTTATCGAAATACTGTAAGGAACAGATCACATGACCACTGTTTCCTCCCCCCCCCCCCACTTCTCCGGTTTACAAGAAGCCACGTTCACTCAGGGACGGTGAGTGTCTGCGATCGCCTTTTTCGCTCCACCAACAGAGCTCCCTTTGTAAGTGCGTCTCTTTCCGAAGTCAAGCCAAACACTGCAGACTCTGTTCCCCGGAGCCGAGTTAGACATGCACTGCACAAACCCACATGTCACGCATCGAAGGGGAATGGAGGTGGGGGGGGGGGGATACATGCAAAATGAAACTTTTCAGCTTAAGGGATCATCCACACTTGAAAAACGACACTTTTTCCCCCCACCTGAAAACAAAAAAAAGACACTGCCAAGAACACAGAGCATTAATAATGTCAATAAAAAGATCTGGATCCAGAGTTCTGACAGTGTCTGTACTGTATGTAGGTCTGACCGTTCAGATCTAAGAAAGCACTGCAAAGAAGGCAGCTCCTTTATGACACCACTGGCTTGAGGATCTCTTACATTTATGACCCCTCAAAGCCTTTTACAGTAGGTATTAAGTGCTTATCGCAGCTTGGTGAGGGGCTGGGAGTGACTGGGAACAGATTCTTCCGACGTCGTCACTTGGATCCGCGCAAAGCAGACTGGAAGAAGAGGGAGCTTCGGCAGAGTAACAGTTCCTGTCCGACACCATTCCGGCTGCTGGGATGCAGAAAGGCCACCGTGCTTCACATTAAAGGTCGGATACTAAGGCGATGCTCCCGAAAGCTCAAACCACAATACAAATGCACGTAATTCCCCTGTGCCGATGGGACCTCAAGGCCCTTGATCAGAACAGACAGGATACGGCAGTTCAGGCAGGTAAGTCATGTTTTTCCACTCACAGCACCTCCATGGTATCATGTGCTCAACAAGTTTCCCCCCCTAGCCGAGATTCTTGCGTTTATACAGGGCTATTTTCAAATGATAATCAGATCCATCCTCTCATTTGGAGATGGCCATCTGGTGAATTTGGAACTACTGACTTCTGTTTTTATTTTTCAAACATGCTGCCTATTTAAAATCCAATGAGAGAAATGAAACCTATTCTTCGCACCCTGACTAACTGGCGTCACTGTTACAGATTTGCACCAGCAGTGCTTTCTCCAAGAAACACATGTGTGTGCTGGGGTTTGATTGTAGAGCTCCATGTAAGCAGGTACTTCACAAACACGCGCCGGAATAATCTTCAACACAGATAAATGCTATTTATAATGAAAAACAATCACCAAAACCCCACAAAATTCTCAGATTAAGAATGCCTTAAAATTTCATGACTATTCATATTTGTGACGGGCCACCAAAGAGATTTGAGATGTGTTTTATTGGGAAAGTTTGTGCTCTTTACAATCCCCCACATGAGCACAAGAGAACACATCAAGATTAACCGTGAAGCCACAGATGGCTGCAGGGAGGCTATGACACGGAGACATTGCAGATTATAACAGTGAGTGATTTGCTACGGCACAAAACCACATACAATTCAAATCAGAAATACTATTGTTTGAGTCTTCAAAATGGCAGGAAAAACAGTGAAAAATGCACCCAGCGGAGAAGAAATCTCCGTCTTGGGTATAAAACATTCTGGCAAGCACACAGGCATTAATCCCGCGGCACTGATAGATCGCTTGGTGTTGAAAAGCAATGTCAGGTAGACTGTATGTTTCACAGTTCAGTTAAAGATTCATTAAACATGTTAGACAAGTGCCTTTGATTCTGCCCGACTCGAGGCAACATGATCCAGAACCTTAGGATGCGGTAATGTCTTCCAATGAAAATAACTACAGCCGGTGACACCTCAGTCACAAGGTGAACCAGGGCGGCCCGCAGTGAGACGAGCTCGGACAAGCCCGTGTCATTCCTCCCTGCTTCCTCTTTAACGCCCAATGACAAACGGCTCATCCGACAACACACTTTCCATTTCGCGACTTCTTCAGCCACCACCACCACCCCCCCGCCACCCCCTTGTTGTGACAGGCAACAAAATTGATTAAGCCCAGCCCTGGGATCTGACACTGAAGCGCGTTGCCTTCTATTTGTTGATTACTATTGATTTTCTTTGATACTTCATTTAAAAATCAATAGCCCGGAGAAGAAAAATAGGCATGGTTTACACATACTTTAACATACTATTGTACACTGGAGGATGCTGCAGTTTTGGCAGCACTCTGGCAGCCAATTATGAGAAAAGCTCTTAACAGGTGAAAGCAGGGGCTTCAGATCGATTTCCAGTTTTCTTCCCCAATCACAGAAAGTGGCTATAAATTAGGCTCATCAGTGTTATGCTTAAGACAGCCATGAAGCACATAACTTTTTGCTTTCCATCCGCTTGTTACTCATAAAAGCCGCGCTTGTTGTGTTTCGGCGCATTAGGTTTCTTCCCGTGAAGAGTAATGCCCCTGGAAGAAAGATGGCTGGATTACCTGGAGCTCATCCGAGCTCGAAGCTTCTTCGCTTTCTTCCTCGCCTTCTGCTTCTCCTCCCCGTCTTTCACTGTCTCCACGGCGACAGAGCTGTCGGTCACGATGTCCACGATGTACTTCTTTAAGGACAGGTGTTCCTTTAAATCAACAGAAGTAAATGTCAATGGCCAGCTTTCCTTTAGGGTACATTATCAGGGCCCGTAGAGTATTTTTTCCCCAGAGTTTATTTTTTCCATTCCACTTTCAAGATGAGTTTTTCCATGTGTCGGACAATTGTTTTTCAAGACTGTTAATTGATCTTTGCTCAGAACTCTAAAACTCATCACTAAAAGGTGGCTTTTTTAAAACAATATTTTATTGAACTGGGTACATTAATTAAGAACAAACTCTCATTTCCAATAATAATAACTCAGAGACCTTACTGACCCTGCTCAAGGACAGAACAGCGGTGTCCCACACAGCATCTGAACTCTGGTCTGGAGCTCAGAGCCCGAACAACTAACCCACGCACTCTTGTAGAGTGCTATCATGGACTGTTTAAATTTGTTTAACGAATAGCTCATTTATAAAATTCTTCTTTTTGAAAGTATACCTAAAAACTGAAACCACTGGACTGCAGTTTCCCACATTTAAAAAACTCCTACTGTAGCATTTAATATAACATTTCAAATGGGAACTTGAGTGTTCTGATGATCTTATTCGTGTGTAACCACACAAGCAGCCTGGTTTCTGCAACAGTCTCTATAACATTGAACTCTTCAATAAATTGAATAAACGGTTTTATTAAACTTGTAAAAAAAAGTTGGGCTACCAGAATTAAATAAATATCTGTTATTGTTTGGTTCTTTAACTAGAAATTCAAAGTTTTCTTACTCGCATGCTCTTAAAATATTTTTTCTCTGAAGTATATCAGCTGATGGTCGCTACTTCTCAGCAGGACTGCAAAGCTCTGAACTTACTGTACATCACTTGAAAAAAGACCCCGGATTTGTACTTTAGTTTTTTTTCCCCTCAATTGCCCAGTTACAGTTGTTCTAAGCACATTCAAATTTAAAAAAAATATCCTTGAACCGGATTACTTCAGCAGTGTTCATCAAATCATTAGTCAGGAAATACTACAATTTCTGTGTGCTTACTTCTATCAATTACTGCCTAGGGTTGCTTACTGTTTAAACTGTACAATTTAGCTCAATGCTGGGGAATGACATATTTATAAAAAAAAGAAATCGTGGCCAGGCATGACCTCATTAGGTATACAGTGTGAGTAAGTCCAGTTAAACAGGCCATGGCTTAGGCATGTTTGTAGGAGGTTTCCCCGAAACCGAAGGGTGAAGACTGGGTCTGCTCCTACCCCATCACTTGGAAATACATTTTCTCATGACGCACCTCACAGACGGCACTGGAGGCACTTGGGCTTTTTCCTTTCGGCCTCAATTTTCTTCAATGAAAGTATCAATGAAAGGGAACAGCACATCATCGTGCCTTCAAAGTTCCCGAAACTTCCCGAAGGCAAGAGTTTGCGAGACTAGAGAGTTGCGAGAAACATCCCCCCCGCTCACATTTCACAAAGCGCGTCTGCGTACCAGAGCGCGCATTTCCCCGGTAAGACAAGTCCAGCGTATCGGCTCGGAGTCCGCCGCATGCACTGCAGCCCCAGCCTGGCTCAGGGGGTCTCTCATCGAGCGGCAATGACAGAGGGGGGCTGGGGAACGAAGGAGCTGGGGGGCTGAGGGGCTCGAGGGTGAAACTTAACCAGCCTGCCCCGCTGCGGGGGCAGCCGCTCCAGTCTTTCTCATCACGGCTCCTCCTGGTTGCCAGTGACAGAAGAGACAAAACCCGGGTTGATCCGGCTCATCTGGCCCCTGAAACGGACACCACCTGAAGGAGGGTTTACCACCTCCCCTCAGACGCAAGGTGCAGCTAAGCCCCTCTCCCCGCCCACCTGGGCCCTGCAACCGTCCAAGGGAGGAGGAGGAACGGTCCGGCAGACAGTCTCCAGTCCCGGCATGTCCCCTCCCCCCCCGAAACTCCTCCAACTCTGATCTAATCTGGAGCTTTAAGAGATGGCTGGAAAGAGCACTGGAAAGTTCAACAAGCTTATTCATCCCTCAGCCCACGGGGGCCAGGAGAGCTCAGAGCTGTCAGAGCCTCAACAAGAGAAAAGAGCAGTGAAGCCACTGCAGAGAGTCAGAGCTCAAGGTGTTTCTCAGAGTTCTCACCTTTCACGATGAGCACCGTGGATTGATATCACAGGATCCTTTGGGGGGGGGGGGAGGGGGAAGAGAATGACAAAGAGCATGGGGTAGGAAGTCTTGTTACTGAGCGGTACAGGATGACACCAGCAACAAACAAGCCCCCCATAATACAAATTGACTTGATGTATAGAAAAGGACTTCTTCAATCAGTCTAGCCTCCCCTATTGAAAGAACAGGTGTTTCTCTCATTGTGCAATATATACATTAGTCAAGGCCGAAGCGAGAGGAACAAGGCTGTCAAAAAGTCATTGTCCCGTCCAATTATCTGGTGTGTCGTTAACACTTGATGAAATTTTGATCTCCTGCAGATAAGCTGGAGGGGGGGTGTTGGTTTTACTCTCCATCAGTCCGTAAGGGAGTATTCTGGAGATACTTGCTTTTCTTTTTCTTAAAAAAAAAATCACTACGTAATCTCCACAATTCATTCTTTATGCCAGCTTCTCTACAAAACCTGCAGAAGGTCCTGCAATACTGTCGTTTTATATTGAATGCACTTCTTTGTGTAGGTAAAGAGTTTCCATTCTGCCAGGAAATAAAGCTCAATGTGCTCGGAAGCAGGCTGGATTTTTGGGTTTTATTTTTCCAGTGTGTAACATGTTCCTGCTGTGTGGATATGGATTTGCACATTAAGAAGTAGAAAGGCAGTCCTTCGTGGTGAGGGCTGGTTATAACCCTGTGTGATCTACTTGTAATAGCCCTAAGATCATGAGACTGTCAAATAGCAGTTAACCAAGGAGCAACATAAAATCTGAAATCAATGAGTTCTATTTATTTTTCAGGCATATTGATTAGCAATCCAATAAGGAGCAATGGCACCTTGTAAGGAGAGGGGCAAAAACATGGCTCTTAACTCATTCACTAGATGTACACAAAATTTCAAAAAGATTAAGTCATTGTAAGAAGATACAGGAAATCTCAAGCCAAATCAACTCAACAGCCTTAATAAAACAGCTTTACAAGGAAATCTAAACACTTACACAATTTAGCTACAGGAGACCCACCTTTACATGCCACAGACACTGCTGGCTTTGTTTATGGAAGTATTGTGAATATATTGATTTGTGCAGCATATCAGAAAGATCCAAGACAGATATGAGGCGCTGCTTTCTCTTTCAACAGAGAGGAAGCAGATGAACTTTAAAGAGTCAAAAAGACTTGACAATAACCATTCACTGCAATGAGAAGAAGGCTGCATGCTTGCCACCCCTTCCTTAAAGCAGTCAAATTGTGTAAAAGTGTGCATTTGCATTATTTCTGCTATTATTTGCATTTCAGAGAGTGATTTGCAAGGCATATTATATTTCCGACAGGCACTGCATATACTTTCCGCTGGCCATCCCAGAGTCCCTAGGGAGTGGTCTGCTGAAGACTCCAGGCAGGAACTTGCCCAGCTTCTCCTAGAGAGACAGATGTTCAGCAATCACCCTGACAGGGGATCCAGTGCTCGCCTTGTTTAAGTAATGGGATTGTTCCTCTTACAGCTTTAAAAGCAAAAGAACCACAGAATGGACATCTTGGGACATCACACACTATTCCAGAAGAAGCTAGGTTGTGCTGCCACTTTCCAGCTGGTAGGAGCATTAGAATGCTTTGGCACGCCAAAGCTCATGTCTAAAAACAATTCTATCACACACTAAGACATGCATTGCTTGAAAACACACATTCAATGTCTTGAAGCAAATGAAATTCTGGGAATTGATTAGGCCTACTTATTTCATGACCATTTTATAGTGGGGAGCTCAATGCAATTATGTATAAATATAACAAAATTCTTCAAATACATGCCATGAGCACCACCACACAGTTGTTTTTGTTTATGGGCAGAAGGATAAGGGGTTAATTTATGGTAAGGATTCATTAATGAGGCATTCCGATTAAGTCAGACACGTAACTTTTGTACTAGCTGAGAAGTCAAGAGAAGTATGATCCCCAGCTGTCAGAGATGAATGGCTCTGCTGTGTGAAAGAGACAATAGGACTCAGAGGATACCCTGAGGCACAGCAGGCTGACAATAACAGTGTCTGCTTTTGGTCAGGGTAATATGAGAGATTTTAAAACATCACACCTACAGTGGCAGTAAAACTGTCGTTTTATTATCTCATTATGTCAAAATGATGTGTTCACCTATCTCTTCTCTTTTGTGAGCTACAAAAGGCCTCTGTGGAGAGCTTCTCCTGTAGTGAGAAGTGAAGGATTTCATTCCAGTTTCCACAATACAAGGCTGCTTGGTTCTGCTCAAAAGATCACTGGAGATCTCTGAAGCCCTTGTCAAGCCGGCTATCCAGTTACTGAGGGTGTCCGTGTTACAGAAAAAAAACTTAGGAATTTTTTACACTGTGGAAGTTTTTAAAGAAAAAATATCACATTGTTAGCGCCTTTACCAAATTCTGTGCCATTATTTGTCGAGTGGCCTTTTTCATGTTCTCTATAGTATATCAGAACACAACGTGCAAACAATAAAAGCCCTAAAAGATGGTTTAACGTATAATCTGTTGACAATCAGTAAAAGATAATATGGTATATATTAAAATAGTACGGCCCACTATTGACGCGCATACTGTATGTGGTCCACTTCGTTTTAAATACACCTCTTCGGGGCACGAAAACTTGTGAACTGATACAGCTCAACTCAAGAGCAGGGCTGTCAGACTCGTGTCTGGCAGAGCCCAGTGGCTTGATCTTGTTCAGGTTTCGCTCTACACCAAGTCGCCAAGTAAACTATTAACATTACTTCCCTAGATCGTTCAATTTGATTGCTTAAAACATTCAGCCCCTCAAATACGCATGGTTACCCACAATGCACTTTGAACCATGCAGATAGCTGTGCTTAATTAATAGCATTAATATGCAATTAATTGAAAAATTAGACTGACTAAGTGAGCACAGGGGGGCCGCCACCCAGAAGACACCAGGGTGGCCTGCTGGCAGGACGGGACAGCTGGGGCTCCACCACCAGCTAGCAGCTAGCACGCCGCAGCCAGCAGGAGGGTGGGGTCTGAAGTTTGGGTCTCTCCGTCCCACAGGGGGATTCCGGAGAGGAGGTGGGGGGGGGAGGCAGGGGACGATTCAAGGGTCCCCCCCTCCCACACCCTGGCAATTTCAATTAGGGCCGGGGCCGCGGGCGGGGGATTTATGAACCCGACCTCTAGCTCGCAAGCGGCCCGGCGGTGCGACCTCTCACACCCCCCACTTCATCAAGCGGCGGCAGCCCGCCCCAGCAGGGCCCCGAAACGCAGGGCTCTCGCCGGGGAAGCGCAACGTGTCTGAGATTGATGCAGACACGGCGCTGAAGTGTCAGCGCTGAGAGGTCAGCTGTAATTTTTTTGTACAAGGTCAAGGGTGAACAATAAAAAAAATCCAATATGTCAAACTTGAGGGGTCATAGGCATAGCATATATAATATTAAAACAGGACGGACGACAAGTAATAAGCGTAAGTACAGAGCGCATATTGAAAATCCAGGCCTTCACATATGCTGTATCCTCCTGAGGCATCGATCCAATGCTGTTGATAATATCGCTTTTTTTCCCCACCAAGTCCTTAAACTGGGAAAATATTACTAAAATTCAGAGCTCAAAGACCATAACAGCTCCATGCAATTGAAAAACTACTTCATGACCCCTGCGCAGTTCAGCCAACTATCTTAATTTTAATTAAAAGTCTTTCATTCTGGCAAGACTTATGGAACTCGTGGCTGTAAATGAATTGGCAGCACCATGAATAAAGTGATATTGCATAACGTGAAGCGTGCATGCCTAAAAAAAATAAACTGGGATTTGCGTAATCTTGGAAAGATTTCTTTAAACATTCAAAAAACTACAAAATCAAGACTAAATTGGAAAACAATGCACATCCTCTTTGGGGCTTTTGGACTGAGCTGTCTGTTAATTTCATTAACTGAAACTGCCGAGGCGCATCTCCGTTAATATTTAACTCCTGCCCGTGTCATCGCTTTCATGGAAGTCAGAAAACGTATTTAAATCCGTGCTTTGTGTTAGCAGTTACCTTTCAGACTCGATCTGCTATTTCCCTTTGACACAAGAGGCTGCGGTTTCCTTTCTGCACCATCTCCCCTGTGGGCCAGGTACAGTACACTGTAATGAACCTCAGTGCCTCCTGAAATTTTCTTCATACTTCATTCCCTGCCCTGGATTACGCCTTCCCTGCTAGCAGCAGTATGGCTTTCGTGTCAAGGGGAGTGGAGGGGCACGGGCTCTTAAATGAGACACCACTGGGTTATTTTCATAACCCGAGTTCCCTGACAAAACACATCAGGAACTGCTCTTTCTGCTTTAACATACTGATGCTGTACTGGAATTTCCCATAAAATACGAGACACTGCCAGTAGGTATGAAAAAGAACTGTGTTTCCACATGGTGTATTTAGAGAACTGCAAGGACCCTCTAAAAAAAAGGACTATATCTCAACCAGCAACGTTTAAGAATATTTCTGTAGCCTGAACCTGAGCAGACTGATCAACCCTTTATTGTTTGGTGATATTCTGTAATCTGTTATTCTAACCCAGCACCTGGCTGTTGTTTTTGATGAATACATTAGTCATTAAAATCACAGTTATTTGTATACATTAACTGTGCTTTATGCATTTGCTCTAAATCAATTTTTACCATTTCCATTTCATGCGTCAGCTTCAGCCAGATGATCTTAGAAGAAATTATGGACTCAGGCCTCTTTTTTTTCTTTGTTTATATTCTGAGGATCAGGTTTTATGCCAAGGTTAAATGCAGTTCTTTCAATGTCACTAGTAATCATACTTTATCCAACAAAAGTGTCTAACTCACCTTCTCTGAACTGTCTCAAAGGCATTTTATCTGCCTGTTCCCTGTTTCTCTGCCTGGACATGCACAGAGTATGCTCACATGGTAAGAAGCAATGCAAGAGGCCCAGAAGGCCTTTAGAATATTGCAGTTTATTTTTCACCTAAAAACAAGGACAATTTACACATTTGCATATTAAGATGTGTCATTTAAAAGGTCACAATCATGACCACTTCCAGAAGAGGGTAGCTGCATGACACCAGGACATTGTTTAGGCCACCCGAAATGTGGCTGCAGAAGGGAAACTAATGAATTAGATCAGAGAAGGGAAAAGCATTAGAGATTACCAGTGGAAGAGGTTAGAATGAAGAAGATGCCAGGGTCAAAGGTGATGCATATACCACCATAAGCTGTCAGTTGCACAAACAGTGTGTTGAAATGGCCAACCTCACACTGCAGGTCAAACCTGAAAAGCTTCTTGCTGTAATGGCTCAGCCATAGCTTCAAACACACAATCGCAAACAACCGCAAAACGCGCCAAGAAACAGCTGTAGCACCATGTTTCATCAGTGTTCCTCAAATCTCCTGTAGTTTACCGTTCCAATGTACTTCTGTATCTAACTATAATCATGTACTATAATTTTTGTTTTTGACTACAATCATGTACTCCTAGTCCATATTTAAGTGTTGTAGCAGGCATGTTTTCTCCGACGCTTTGAAAGCCCTCCAGGGCCTTTCTCCCATTGTTCTCAAGACATCGCGGTGAAGCAAGATCCACATTTCACAGTGGATTTAACCCACTTCATGTTTTTCTTAACTGTAAAAAAGCAGCAGTTACTACATCAAGATGATCCTACTGTAGTTTGAGTGGAATTGCATCAACAGATATACACAGTGAAACTACTGTTCAACGCCCTACTCTTCTGTTTCATTACTGTTTGCTGTTAAAAAAAATTTAGAAGTCGGCAGATCACTAAAACCTGCAATGGATCCACCTGTTAGGAGACTCATGTTGTGCTGTATAAGAAACGTACCACTTCCTCATCGGAGAGCTCCCTCCCCTGGATGCTGCTGCTGTCTCTCACTGCCTGCTGGTGTTTCTTCCCTTTGATGTGGCTGAATAAGTGCACCTCTGAGGTAATCTGCAAAACAAGTCATAGCTCTGTGATCACCAGGGCCTGCCTCTATACACACAGAACCGATGGAACAAAAAAGACTTAACTATTCCCAAAAGCCTGGCGACCACAGGATATCCACATCTCCACAGAGAGAACAGAGCCCCTGAAGTCACTTAATGATGTGCCCCATCAAGATTTTCCAGTCACCGTGCTAAATGTATCGACTTGATCTGAAACCTGAACTGTCCACTTTCTGCTCTTTCATTTCCCCTGTTACAATTGATCATCTGCTCCGTAAGTCACCAGCCTGATCTGTCCTGGAAAAAAAACAAGTCTGTTTTAAGAGCTCTGTTCTCTAAAGTCAGCTGGGAGAGCAAAGAAGACAACAGAGAAGAATAGCTGACAAGTGAAGTCATTGTTTAAATCAGTTTATGGCACAAATCTTCCCCTTGAGGATGAACTTTAAGGAATTTGGGATATTGTTAGTCATAGGTCCAAATAACACTGTTTTATAAATCTGGCGTGATCTATGGATGTTACCCTAGCATTGTGGTCATACTGTATGTACTTTGTCTCTGACCTTGCACTCCTACCCTGTTTGTAATGCTTATTACTCACCTAAAAGAGATGTTCCAGCTTGACAAGGCACAACCCACTGTGAGGATCTCCATGTTTCTGCTGTTTTTCTTTTACTTTGAGAATGAATTCTGTGGTTTTGAGATGAAAGCAAACTGTTCCAAAGTCTCCTCAAGTGTTCAAACAAATTTGGAATTTTACAAAAAATACTGCGCTTTTTTTTCCTCGGCTCACGCTGAAAATGATGCTCTGTGGTTAAATAACTTGCTCCCAGAAAACAGGTCTGTGTGCTGACAAGCTCATTAAATACCCATTTGTCACCTTAATGTCAGAGTTTGACTGCAGTTGAAGATAAACCGTCTATACTATTTGGCAACGATTCTATTCCAGAAATGCAAGTGGATGGAGACTGCAATAAGAGTGCTAATAATAGCAAGTTTGTAGCACTTAAAGAAAAAAAACAAACTGTGAACGAAACTAAACTGAATTGCCTTCCTTCTTTACCGAGAGTGACATGTATTGTTGAGAAGATGGATTGTCTTGGTGAATGCTAAGAAAGAAAATTCACCAGTATTAAAAACTAAAAATGCATTCATACAAGATGCTTCAGTGTTTTAATAACACGCTAATTCATTTGGATTACACTATTGTTAACTAGTGCTGCTCTGATTTCAACACCTGTTTTAAATGTGCTGCTTAGAGTAGCAAAAACAGTCTTTGCACAAGTGAGATGTCAGTGATGAAAGCATACCTATTCGTTTGAATTGAGCCATCTGTCTCAATGGGAATATTCCCCAGTTAAACAATTACAGATAATAATTGCACTTGAAGGATTGCCTGGGGCTACACGGATCAGTATTGATTATACAGCAGTCTCTTGGTCTGTTCTATTCTCATCACAGCTAAGTAGCTCAAGCTCTTTTTTATTTGATCTTCTTGGGATTTGTACAAGGTTTTATTTCCACTTTGTTCCACCCCAGTATGTTTTAGTGTTCACTGGAATCAGACTGAAAGGGCCTCTCTGGCAACAGCTCCCTATTTTCACTTTGAGAAATGATTATTAAAGTCTAGAGCTAGAAGTCTGCATCCTACACTGCTTCATGTCTTAATTCAGTGTGAGATGCCTCTCCTGACACTTGCGAATATTGTACCTACTTTCTGTTATCTCTACGAGATCTTTACATGCTGTATATCCATTTATATCCCATTAAGGCAAATTTAGAGTTGTCTTTAAATGAGCAACAACTTCAGAAAATACTGTTATTGTTTTGTCCTTGCCAATATCATACAATAGCTTTCCCACCGATACAAAACATCTCAGAGATCAAACATTAAACGACTGGAGAAAAATGCAAACATTTCGATCAACCTTCCCTGTTCACTTAACAATCCAACACTGCAAATGAGCTGCAAAACATCCAGAATGTTATCCATGCCGGCTTCAAAAAAAAAACTTACAAAAATCAAATGAGAGCAAGAAACACAGCAGAACAACAATTCTGTAGAATGACCAGGTCATTCTCTCACAGAATGGAACAAAGCACACTGTTAATATCATTAAGCAGAGTGCTTCTGGGTGACCTAAAGATGATCACTAGTGTCAGACGCTGGCCAAGGGCATCTGACATTTTTAACAGGATTTGATTCTCTCTCCCTCCCTCTCGCTCCTTTTTTTTAATCTCAGGGAGGTCTGAAGCTCCAAGGTGCCTCAACCTCGTTGCTGTGAAAGCAGCTCTATAAGAGATAAATATGCCTCCTTCAGATTTGTCACATGCCATTTCTATAATCAAGCCCAGACCTGCATTTCTGTCCAAAGGTTTATATTTAATTAATGTCGTTAAAAACTAATTTAGACACATTCTCCTGCAAAACTACTGTCCAGTCAACAGCTTTGTGGGTGGTGCATTTAATAGTATTACAACAAAAATGCTGACAGGTAGGTACTGCAAGAACCTCAAACTGAAAAAAGCAAACAATATAGTTAGGAATTGTTTCTCAGTGAATGTACTTACTTGCTCACCAGTTGGCCATTAGTCTATAAATTTACTACTATGCAATTTAATCAAAATTCACAGCACCGTTTCATAGTGCCAAGCAGTGCCAGCAGCTGAAACAGAAATCATTAGAACTGAAGTACCGCCTACAGATTACAGTAAATATCAGCAGCATTAGAACAGAAATGCATGTCAGTTATGGATGAAATTTCTGAAAATGATTAATCTGTCCATGCTATAAGCAACACATCTGAACTTTTTTTGAATGATTTATAAGGCTCACCCAGTCCTGACTTGGACATTTCTGCTTCATATATTTAATCTGCCTAATTAGTTTAGATGCATTTTTCTTTGTGATTACTGATCATCATCATCTGCTGCATCTGTGTGAGCTGATTGGTTTTAAATGAGACATTTTAATTAATTGACTTCTCTGGTTAAATAAAGTGATGACACTGAACAAAGAAGTTGAAGAGTTTTCAGATTTGTTCTTTACACCTTTGTAACACCACCCCACAAAAACATTAGTATTTGTCTATGGTTTGGCAGTAAATGGGGGAAATCCTGTAATAGTTGTAGGAATAATTTATAGTGTGCTTTTCATTCCAAAGGAACCCAAAGCACTTTGCATATATCAGGGGACACAGTTCACCCACCACTGCAATACAGCACCAACCTGGTTGCCCTACTGCACAGCAGATCAGGTAGGAAAAGAAAGAAATTCCTTTACCAACAGAAGTGGGGGGTGAAATATAGGGAGCATGCGAAGATTACTTTAGCAAGGACATTAATGTCAACACCTTCACTCTCACGAACAGTGCCACAGGATCTTTAATGATCTGGTGCCCGAGTACCTCGGTTTAACATCTTATCCAAAGAACGGTGCAATCTACAGAAGGTCCCAGGTCACAATATTGGGGCATGAGTTTTGAAAAAGCTCAGAAAAGCGCCACCTGCTGGTCCATCAACATCACTTTCAGCACCAACCAGGTTTTCCTAAAAGGTCTCCCCATCTCTTTCGTGACCACACCAAATTTTGATTCAATAGTTAAATGAGTCAACCCCCTCACATTTCATTAGGCTTTAGTGAAAAGGCTCTGATAGTTCACAGCTCCTCAGCAAGCAACACATCAGCTCTAGAGCTGAAGCTTTACTTCTCTACTTCCTGCTTACCGTGACATTACACAGAGAGCACTGCTTCTTGCGTTCATAAGGTGTCAGTTTTGGGGCGTAGTCCGTGTTGTTGTGTCTGCCACTGCTTAGCTCTGCGGCCTTCTCCTTTCTCTGCTCAATCTGCTCCATGTGCCTCCGACTGCTTTCGTCGTGCTAGGGGAGAATTTGACAGAGGACGTCCAACATGTAATACAATCCGCTTTAAAGTGAAAGGGGCCGAAAATTCTTAAGTCGTGAAGTAATGATGGATTTTAAGTTGGCTTCAGAGCTAGTTTAAGAGGACAATTCGGACTTGCCCAGCCCTTGAAAGCTGGTATTGGATAATACTGTACAAACAAAAACAAAAGCATAGGCTAACAGAAATGTAGTTCTAGTGGCAAAAACGGAATGCGTGTTCCCCAAGAGAGCGACTGCATTAAAAAAAAGAAGCACTAAGACAGAAAAGGGGTGTCTTTATGGCCACCTTCATGTCTTAATAACACTCTAGAGTCCTGCCAAGAAAGAATCTCCCGATCAGCCAGCACTAACAACATTTTGCGAGTGCCATGAAAAGAGGAAAAAATTAAGAGCCAAGACTAGCATTTACTGCAGTGACCTGAGCAGAACATCCAAGGGTTTAAGATGTGCGAAATAAACCACGACTTTTACTGGCTTTGCATATACTTGGAATACTGGATGTTGCACAAACATGCAGGCCACCCTGTTAATTGGCAGGCTCTCCGGCTTTGTGCGGATGGTGCACCTTGAGCTGTATCTTCTTCTGCAGTTCCTCCATCGCCTCTTGCTGAGCTGCGCTCAGGGCTGCCAGTCTCTCCTCCCGGTCTCTGTCATGGGGAACCACACAAGGGACAGTTTCAGTACAGAAGAGCACAGGACTGCCCCTTGTCTTCTTTCTGTCACACAGTCATGGTGGCACACGATAATAACTCAGGTCTTCCTCTGCCACGCACATATGGCTTTATAAGCCTGATATAATTTAACACAGGACCTACCATTTCTATTAACTTGTTCTACTGCCTAAGCACAGCAGTCACTGTGCGAGGCAAGTGTTATGAGTTACAACACCTTGTAATGTCATGGCCAGTTATGCCCTATAATTCTGCCATCAGCGAGAGAATAAGCATTGTTTAACACGCAGCAGACTTCTTTGCCATCTTCTTCACTGTGCCACTTTCAACGGTAAAAAAGCAATTCTCTGGGCTTCATGCCCGGCTCCCAAAAATATGCCAGCTGTGCTGTTTTTTTTCAGATCCATATACCAAACTCATTCTAGCCCCAGACAGCTTGCTTAAAACGTCTAACCTGAGTTTAACTACATTAAGGTTAACATAAACATACGACACAGTCTTATGTGTAAAGCAAAACTCAACTTGCACATTATCTGAAACCAGACTGTTTAGAATATAATCTGCACGTACAAAAAATATATGATACGAGCAGAGGACAAGGCTGGTGAATCACAGTACTATATTTTTCACTAGGTTGGATTTTCCATTTTAGTCTGGGGACTCTCTGGTAAGAAAGGATTTTTTTCGGTGATGACAGATCTTTCACTTTCTAAACTGGGAATGTTTTTGATTTCCGTGCCCAGTGCCTGACTGCTTGTGCCACCCCTCCCCCCCTCCAGCGAGGAGTCTGCTGGCACGGACCTGGCCCTCTCGCGCGCGGCGTCCTCCCGCGCCCTCTCCTTCTCCTGCCTCTGCTGCTCGATGCGCGCCTCCTGCTCCCGCCGCCGCATCAGCAGCTCCTCCACGCGCGCCTGCCTCTCGGCCTCCAGCGCCCGCTTGCGCTCCTGCCCGCAGGACGACACGACAGGACGTCAGGGCGCGGATCAGCAGCGCTGCCCGGCCGCGCAGGGTGAAATCAGCAGAATGGTCATCAGACTGTCACTCTAAAACACACCCATCCCCATGGGGGGGGAGAGCACTGTTCAGCAAGGCCCTAAGCATCTCCGCGTGTTCCCACTGATTTTCAGAAAAGAATCTCAATTTAGCAAAACAGAAGGGCAAATAGAACACTTTCCCCAGTTCTGGAAGTTTTTACTGCACATTAAGTGATGTCCTGCTTTGATAACCATTTTATTCAGCTCTTTGTGACCCCTGACCTTTGTTAATGAACATATCTAGTGTCCTGTGTATTTATCGTCACGTATCTAGTGTCCTGTCCTGTGCGTTTATTGCTCTGTACTACCCAATTGCTTGTGGTTGTGCGAGGATGTGTGTGATGGTCAGCTGCCTGACTGTTCTGTGATGTTCAGTACTGTGCACACTGTGTGCTGTTGTCTCTTGTGCAGTGATCAACCCAAGGGAACGGCGCAAATAGGAATAACAATGTACACGTGCATTCGGCAGATATATTCCTCTCTCTCTCTGCGGTGTTTCAGAGAGAGTACTGGGGTGTTGTGAAGTGGGGGCACAGCGGGGAGACGGGAAGTGGGGCGCACCTGCACGGCCTCGTCGCGCGCCTGCTTCTCCTCCTGCCGCCGCTGGCGCTCTTCCTGCAGCTCGCCCAGACGCTGCTCGTACTCGTTCAGCTTGGCCAGCACGTCGTGCCTCTTGTTCTGGGCCTCCAGAGTGTTTATAAACGCAATCTCGTTCACCTGCGGCGGGACGCAATGTTAGAGAACGGAGGCCGGCGGGCTCGGCCCAGCGGATCTGCCTCAGAGTTGAACAGGCTGGAAGGCCTCCAGAAGGTGCCGCCGCCTCACAGCAAGCGCCTGTCAACACTGGTGATTTTTTTAAGCTTTTGCAGATCCACATCTGTCTGAGAGAGAGATTTGGTAGCATTTTCATTTGATCCCCTTTAACGCATAAAAACAGTGCATTCTGCCCCACGTGGAGGAGTTAATGAGACAGAAACTTGGAAAGGCAAGCTGAATCGCAGAAAGACAATAAACAGCCCCTAACTCTGTTTACTGTGTGAACCGCCAGCAAATTATTAATTTATTATTAACGCTTCAACTTATTCTTTATTCAGTGTCATCGCTTTATTTAATCAGAGGTCAATTAGGTAAAACTTCTCATTGACAGAGACGACAAAACCAAGCAGCAGATGATGATGATAATTATTATTACTGCCTATGCCAGTATAGGCTTTCTATTTCTGAAACAAATAAAAATCAGAAATAAAACCAGCATCAGGAACAAGATTTACCTTACTGTCTTTTACCGTGTGATAATGCAACTTGGGCGCCCTTTTGAAAGTAGTGGATATTATCGCAAATGCAATTTGGATAAAAACCCTCAAAAGAACCAAGAAAACAAAATGAAACTCAACAAAGCCCAAGCTGCAGAAGCATGATGCTAGGTCTCAAAGAGACGCCAGATTTTCTGCTCTGCTGGCTGACTGGAACACATTAGCAGCCTGGATTTTTCAGCTCAGTGGTTAGCAGCCAGGATGGGGATTTGAAAGGACTTGGTGGGGGTAGCAAGTCATGTTGCCGTTTTCCTGAACCAGGATGCTTTCCCTTCCTCATTCTACAAAGAAGCTTTGCAATCCACTTGGAACTAATTAACACCAACCTTTAGGCAGCTCCAACCCACAAGGGGCAAGGAAACCAAGCTCCAAGGTAGAGTACAAACAAGAGTTTAAACACCTGCTTCTCACAGTTTTTGGAATTTCTTAGTGTGATCATATTAACCATGAATGTCATAATTAAAAAATTATGAAGGCTGACAATAGGGTTTAGCGATATTAGGCTTGTCCATTACCAACTAACAAACTAGCTTACACTTATCATAGTTATCTTCTAATTGACTTAATTCCACCCCATTAAATTTAATTTTTTTATGTTTTTTGGTAGCCTTTGTTTCCAGTATGATACTTGAGTAATGGATCCTTAGTAAAATTTGCCTTAAGTAGTAAAAGTACCTGGGTTGGGATATATTTCCCTTATCTGCAGTGCCATCTAGTCTTTTTAAGAGCTGCCAGGCTGGGCTTTCACAGCCTTTACTTTTTTGGGTATTTGGTGTTTACACCAGCCTACCTTCACTTTGAAACTTTGTCACTGAGTTACGCTTAAGAAAGTGTAATATTTAATTCTGTTTAGAAGAAGTAAGAAAAAGAATGGCAACCAAATGCAGTTACTTTGACAACAACAAATCCAGTTATTGGTTTAGGTTGCCACCTAAAACAGCCCCACTTGAGACATCAGGAGAGTCATTCCATTTCACCTCCACACTCAGCATTCACCTTTGCTTCCTCCTCTTGTGCCTTTTTCACGATGGCCTGGAGTTGCAGCTCCCGTTTAAACTCCGCATGCAGCAGCTTCTCCTCCATCATCCTGCGCCTCTGTTCCAAGAGCTCCTCCTTCCACTTCCTCACCTCCTTCTCCTGCAAGAGGGTGACGCAAGCAGAGGTGGGTGAGACGCGTCCGGGCGTCAGCAGGGACGTGACCCCCTAGCAGCGCATGCTTCCTGTAGCCGACGTCGGTACAGCGAGACACTGATCTCCTACACATTCCACCGGCAGGGCTGACCGCCAGAAAAACAAACATCACCGTTCACTCCGTCTGCTTGAAGCATGTGTTTGTGCAGTTGAACACGCCTGTTTATTCCAAGACTCAAGCAGAAGCCCCTTCTACCTTTGCACTCAACTTTCAGGTAGAATGGAGCACAAAAAGAAACCTGACGGAGAAAAACTGCCGTAGGTTCTGAGAAGGTACGTTTGAACAGGAGCAGACATTCTGGTGTGTTTACTAAATGATGAAGGTCACGATAACAGATTCACAGAAGGCACCAACCGACAGGTGAAGGTCCTGCCCTCTGTTTCCGGCCTCTCACTCACCCTCTCCAAGAGCTTCTGCAGCTTGTGAGTTTTTTCCTCTCTGAGTTTTTCGCGGAGCTGCTGTGCCTTCAGCTGCTTCTCTTCGTGTTTCTTCTTAGATTCCGCAATGGTCCTGCCGACCAGCACCGAAAACAAGGTTTAGTCACGCCCGCTGTATTACAGTAATGGGAACAGCTGGGAATGAGATTGTCGTAGACCAAAACCTGACATGCAATCTTAGATGACCCCTCATTTAAGATTATTATTGATCTGGCACATAAAATCTTAGATGACCACTGTCACCCACTCTTTTTTAGAATATACTCTGTAAGAGGAGGTACCAGATCAACTGTATGAAGACTAAGAAAGTACTTCCTTTATATCTAAAAGTATTCAAATGTAGACGAATGAATAAAATGTTTGCAGGTAGGGCTCTTATTATTTTTGATGTTTTTAGACTAGAAGCTCATTGTCTGTTTTTAAACCTTTATGGTACCGAAAGATTTAGCGATGCCGCGATTATCATAATACCTATAATACGTCCACAGAGTGCTAATTATTTTCTGGTAAAGGGAAAATTGCCATCAACTATCACACTTGAAATTTGTGACATGTAGGACAAATTTCTAATTTAATGCAGGCCTTGCTAAGAGAAAAGGGGAAAACGGTATTAAAGCAATTACATGTGTTACTATGCCTGCAAATTTTGGATGGAATGAACAGGCCTCAGAATAAATACCTAAACAAAGCAGCAGATATACCATAATTCAAGACAAGACTAACTGTATTATGCACTGGAGAAAAAATCCTGTAATTTGATTATCATCAAGATGACCCGGTGATGATGCGTTTAGGAAAACCAAAGGGGGCTTCACCTTCTACAAAATGCATCAGGAATCTTGGCAATCGCTTATTTAATATGCAAAAACCCATAACTGAGCTGTTTTCCTTTAAGAAAAATCAATAACCTCTTATTCTACAAAAGAATGAAACAAAGTGTCTTTTAAAGATGAAAAATATTTTTGTTTGCCCGCTATTTCAAAACTTGCTAGCTCTGAGCATTCACATGAAAGCTTGCTTCGAAAATTTAAATATTAATATTCATGCTGTGACACAAAGTTTCTGTGGCTTCACAGGATCCTGAAATGCAAACAGACGTATCACGGACAGATCATCATCACATCGCTGCACCCCAGCAACCTGTATATGCATGGTACTAGCTAGGGATGTCTTGTCTGGTTATGTCATATGTCATAATAACTTAAATCACTTCACAAGAGAAAAAAAATATTCTAGGCTGTCAGCGTACTCTTTGCTCATCTATCTGAGTGGAATTCCATGGAGGATGCACATAAACTGCAGACCAGAATGTGGTGCCCATTCGGTAAGACAACCAACAGGTGTAGAATGTGAAGCTCACCAAAATGACCGGCTCGGCACAGAGCAGCTTCAGACCTGAAATTGTAGGAATTGTAGGAATTCCAGGAAAGTATTGTTGAAATGCAAATTGTTGCCTTTACTTCCTCCGAGCTTTCTCTCTTAGCTTGGCTTGACTCTGGATTTTCCTGACCCTAGGCTGGGCTGCCCTGGCTCTTGACTTATTTGGTGCTGCCGGCCTCTTTGCTGTTTTGGGGCTCTTGGCGGCCTCTTTTGCTGCTGCTGGTCTTACAGCTGGCTTCTCAGGCTGGGTGGCTTCTTCATCTCCTCCGCCCGCTTCCTGCTGAGCTTGAAGAAGCATGGAGCATCGGGGTTCTTGGTCTGCGCCATGGTGGTGTTGATCTCCAGGCTCCACATTGTGGCTGCCAGCTGCCTGGGATTCTTCAGGGCAGCCAGGGAAACACCTCCACCTCCTCCTCTCTTAGAGGCTGCTTCTCTCCTTGGAGGCAGACAGACCCTTCAAAATGAGCTCTCCCATGCTGGGTCCTTCCTTCTTGGGCTTGGTGTGGGAGGGGGCTGGAGCCAATTTCTTGGCCTTTGCTGCGTACGTCTCTCTCTGCTGACCCAAGCAGACAGCGGTCTAGGTGCTTTTGTTCCATATTACAGCCATGTTTGATCTGAAGTCTATCGTTTTGCTTTCCAGTTGAAATGCACTGGTTGTTTATGCTGTTTGACATTTTAATTTAATTGGAAGAAATGACTTTGAAGTATTACAGAATATTCTCTACCAGATAAGTGGAAACCTATCAAAAGTAGGACCGACTGCGGGACATTATCATGTCTTGAACTACAATAACAGAGCAGTATCAGTGAAAGGGTACTTTCTGCATAGTCAATTCCAAGAGTGTCAGAGGAGAAAAAAATAGTTCTATTGCTAGAAATAGAGAGCCACAAGAACTGTGCATTGCAATTCCATTTCATTCCACATCAAACTGAAATGCAATACAGTCTATTTACATCCTTGCATTAATGTTTCAGTTGACGTGTCTGCTCTCAGCAACCAAAGCACTGAGTGCTCAAATGACTGTTTGAAAAATCGCTATTTTGCAGGAAGACGAATAAGCAAATGACATACCAAAGTACTCCAAAAGCTCACATATAATACTATCATCATCAGAGACGTAGCAACAGAGGAAGAAGACCCTTGTGTGCTTGCTAATCCTTATGATCCTGTAGCTGCATTAGAGGAACTAGTATGCAGCTGGATATAGCCAAGTAAAAAATGTATTGGTTAGTTCAGAGATTAGAGTCTGGTTTGGGCTGGGAATACGAAGAGCAGCCAAGTATAGCCACGCTGACGCTAACCCCAGTGTGCCTTAGGAGTAAGGCGCAAACCCACCGCTTGCGAGAGGGAGAGGAGAGTTTCTCGTGCATGTGAATGCCATGGCCTGGGGGGCGGGCTGGCTCCTCCTCCACAATGTCCCCCCAGGAGGTGCTCTGACGCCAGGGCTCGCGGGCTGCGGGGAGAGAGAGGGAGAGAGAGGGAGAGAGAGGGAGAGAGAGGGAGAGAGAGGGAGAGAGAGCACACAGTGAGAGAGAGCGCCACGCCAGGAGTCTGCTTCCACACCCATTCCATTGACCGCGCCACACGTCGGCCTCACACCCGTTCTGCTTCAAGAGCACTCTGAAGTCTGCAGATTTATCATGAATAACACGCTTCTAATTAAAAACTCTCTCAGTTCCCCCCCCCCCCAGAGGTAAGACTTTTTTTCCTCGATCCACATTACTCTTTTTCTAATATTAATACGTACAGAAGGAAAGCTGAACAACAGTGTGCGCAAGAAGTTGGAGAAAAGACCGTACTGACCTTCGTAATCGGCCAAGACTTCATTCCAATCCATGTTCAAGCCACAGCAAGACATACTTCCACTGCCTATGCTGGCCTGGAAAAGATACCAGTGACAGGAGAGGAAGTGAGTGGAGAATGTTCTGGAACGAACTCGGCTCTCACCCCCTCAGAGGGGCTGACAAGTTTTGGAAACAGGCCTTTGCAGAGGCTCCAGACTACTGTCGTCTCCCATTTTTTTAACCACACACTGCTGCCCACTTACACCAGGGAGTTTAGTCCGAGCCTCGTACATTAGACAAAGTGTAGAACCTCAGAATCGTATTGCACAACAATCAAAAAATGCAATGTAATCTCTCTTTCAAAGAGAATAAAAACAGCAAATAGATGTTTCCTCAGTACAGAAATGTTCCTGCCATTGCTGCAGGGCTTTTTGATGAAGTGGATTTTTTTCTCTCCTATTAAGGAGTGGGTTGACACTGTATGTGTTGATGGGAGGGGTTGTTTTATCCTGGTTTGTGATTGTTCCTAAAAAAACAAATGTTTTAATCCACAGGAGCACACCAAAGTGGGCCCTGTCCTCCCAGAGACGCCAGGAGGGCTCTTACCGAGAAGTCGCTCTCGTTGTCGGTCTCGAGGTCGTTGTTCTCCTCGGCCTGGATCTCGCGGGTCAGCTGCTCTTCCTCCGCAATAGCGCTGGCGATGGCCTCCTCGTTGGCCTTCTCCAGACGGTCGGCCAGCTCCTCCTTCTTCGCCAGGACCTCGGCCATCGTCTGGGTCTGAAACCAGACGCACGTCAGCTCGCAAACCCCCAGCCAGCAAAGAACTAAAAAAAATGTGCCTTCCTACGATGAATTATGAAAAAAAAATCAGGGGTATGTACTGTATGTGACCCAGCTACTGCAACATTTCCCAACACTGAGTACGAAGGAATGTTTTCATTTCCAAATCACATCTTCAACTGATCTCATGAGAAAGGGTTTCAATAAAACACAGATCAAAGTGCTGATCTATACTTGGTGCATTTTAGACTTTGGGGTATCATACGACCCACTTAGTCTAGCAGTTTTCCATGTGGCATCAGTGGGCTTTATTCTATTCACAGTCAAAGGAAATATTGTTGTAGTCACAATTAATAAAAGCACGACAGGTTAAAAGACCACGATAAATTGACATCTGCTCATTTCCTCAAAACGCTCCAGTTATGCCAGTTAAAAAAAGATTCAAGAAAAAAAATGATAATACCAACAAATGTATTACAGTCAGATCTAAACCATACCAATAGAAATATATTGTTAAAATTCTAAAAATAACAAAGTTATTATAAAACATTTCTAATATGTATGCATTATGCATCTATACTAAACTCATTTAAAATATCAATTTGTTCAACACACAATATAAGGCACAGCAAACCTAAAGTTGTTTTTAAAATGCCTGTTTTCATAAGGATTTACACAATGTTTCTAAAACTGCACTATTAATGAAGTAAGTTGCATTGTGCCCCAACGCAGTAACACAAAAGGACTAAAAAGATGATAGAAGTAAATCACATAATGAAGAGTGTAAAACCAAAAGCAGTCTGAGACGTTTGCGCTGTGAATATGTGGTGTAAGGAGGCAGAAACAAACATGAATGAATGAGGGGTGTGAATGGAGCTTAACCTTCTGGGACAGCAGGTGACCTTTCTCAGCTTTCAAAAGACATTGCATTTTTTTTTCTGCTTGACCAAAGCAATCAGTTTGCTTATTTGCAGGGCTTCACTTAAAGTAACAAGACTTTTATTTATTGAGGACACAACACAGCAGAGGAGGGAAGAAACTCACCGTAGCACTACAGTTCTTCAGGGAGTTGGCTATATGATTCAGCTAATGAGAAAAATGAGAGAGAGCTTTCTCTCAACACTGTGGCTGTTCGTCTTTAACAAGCACCGCTGTGGAGTCTAAACACTGAGGTACTTATCTGAGCCACCCAGAGAGGTGTCTCGGTCCCTAGAACACAAACCAAAATCTCCTTTTTTGATCTTGGTTTAGATAACGCTCCCTCAAGACCATTAAAAAGCCATTTATCTCAATACTTTAAGCAGGCCTTCATATTGAAGTCCAAGTGCTGCCAAGGAATCTTTGATGGTAGCCATACAGTCCTAGGGGCCAATGCTCATTAACCCTTGAGATGCTGTGCATGCCATCAAATTCACTTAATAGACGTCTGAAATGTTAATAATGTCAGAATGAGAATATCTGGGCCTAATTAGGATATCCAGTCACAATGCACGTTAAAAAGTTTAGAAAACATAAAATCTCATTCCACTTGCCTGCTTCGGTTTCACAAAATGCTTTCCACCTGTTGTCTAAAGGAAGTGTTAATGGCAACTAGCTGCCTTAAAAGCATGTCTGAATCTTTCAGCAGCCATTTGCAGGGTCAATGCAGGGCTAGTCATGAACGGCAGTGAAAATGCTGTTCTGTTGAGTTTAGTGAACCCCTTCCTTTACAAGCCTGCAAATTTCTTACACCCAGGTTTGCAGACATGTACTGCTACGTTTTCATGTGTCCATGCCCCCTCTTTGCTAAGAATCCCACCGTATGGTAACGTGGCACAGAACAAGTGGTCTGTAAATTAAACCACTAAATAGCAGCCAGTCACACTCGTGCTCTTTGATTTTGAGAAGTCGGCTTAATGTCCTCGACGCCCTTTCTCTCGGGGTAATGCAATATATCATCACCTCTCCCCCGCTCACACCACGCACTCGCTCCCATGCTTCTCCCAGAGACCAGAAAGCTCTGCCGGTAGACTGACCGGCCGAAAACAAAAAGTCTCCAGCACTCTTCCACGGCACAGGGTGCATGCAGCGCGTCTCAAGGCCGGGGGGGCGGGGGGAAGGGAGCGGCTCCACATGAAGAGGACTGCAGAGGGTGGAAGAAACCGAGCGCTTGTCTTGTAACCCCAGCTGAGCGATCGATCGAGTGTCGCTTACATCAGAGACAGGAAATTTAAGACCAGCTCCTCTCATCTGGTAGGGATCCTCCTCGCCAGGGCGGCCAGCCTACCGACACTTGTACTCCCAGCAGGCAGCAGCAGGCCGGCCTGTCAGTTTGACAGAGCTCCTGTCAGACCGCCCCCGAGAGGACGCCGAGCTGCTCCCCTGTAGGCCCCGGGCTCCTAGCCAACCGCCCCGTCCGTCTCGGCAACGGGACCACTCCACCCCTCCGGCCGGCCACGTTTATTTTTTAAGCAGGACAGCTCCCACGGCGGGCCCGGCCACGGCGGACAGCGCGAGACGCGGTCGCGGCCATCCGATATCGGAGCCCGGCTGTGCGAGGCGGGGTTCATTCATGTTTTGTTTAGGCGGCGAGGCTCCGGCGGGACCGACCCCCTGCCTCCATCCATCAGCACTCACAGTGGAAAGCTCTGTGGGGTCCAGCGCGCTCTCCAGTTTCACGGCTGCAGCGGGAGTCTGCCCCGGGCCAGATGCTGCGGCGGCGGCGCCCCCCGCGCCCTGCGAAGGACAGAGCGCGTCTGTGTGGATCTCGGGAGGTTCGGCCTCCTGCGAGGGCGCGCTGCCAGGCGGCTCTGAATCCCCGGGACTGTCTGCTGTGGACTGCTGTAACACAACCCTTCATTAACCAGGCACACCAAGGGCACCCGCTCAAATTATCGGTATTGATTTCTGTTAAAGCCCCGCCACTTCGAACAGGAACTTTCCAGCAAATAAACAGTTGTATCTTGATCAAGCCAGGTTAAACAGCGAACACGTGACCGAGAGGAAGCGGAACGGGGAGATGTCAAAAGGCCGTGCCAGAGGGCGGTGGCCCCGGGTCTCGCAAGCAAAATGAAATTAAAAATGGGAAACATGAAACACAGGCACTATGACACACAGAATAATGAACATGATGACACTATGCAACATCAAATTCATTATTCTTTAAGAGCATTCCGCTGTCTAGGTTACCAGTATCTTCTATAGTTAAAACTCACTGCAGGCTGTTAAAATACCTAGAGATAAAGTATCAAGCCTCTTTCCAAAACAAGATCTAACTTTATTATTATAATACAGAAAAAATTGATCTAATATATCTTATAATATTTGGACAATCTCACTATGGAAAATGTCATACTCTCGATACATTTACAGGGCAGGTGCATTCACCAAAGTACAATGCTCTCATAAATAACCTAAACGCTACTGCTGAGAGATCCTCCACGATCGTGTTTCTTTAGATGATCTATTTTCTCATGAAAGGCTTTTGCGATTTGGTGATTATGAAGGCAAAAATGAAGAACTGGCATAAAACTGTTCCTGTCCCTGTCACTTCAGGTTTGATTCCAATACCGCTGGCAGCTGACTCCCCTGCGGGAGGCAGCACTGGGTACCTGAATGACAGCTGGCTTCTGACTGTCCGTTTTCTCCTCGGCAGTGTCGGGCTCTTTCTGCTGGCACGGCTCCGGGGGGGGCTTGTCTTGGTTCTGGGGCGAGGGGCCATGCTCCAGGTTCTCCTTGTCGCTGTCGTCTTTCGGGCTCAGGGGCGCGGGGGCAGGGCTGGCTTTGGGCACCACGGTGGCGGATCGGGGGCGCGCTGGCCGCCCCCTCTGTACTGTCTCCCAGCCCTCCGCGTCCTTCCTTCCTGCACACACAGAGAATGTACCGACACTGCAGTTTCTGTGTGCCCTTTCACCTAGCACAGGACAGCATCAGCTAGAAAGGAGAAATCAGATCTCTTACAGGTGCTACTTTGAGTCTCTACACTTTTTAATGGAAAAGGTGCATGTAGCGGGTAGAGAAGCCCAAACACCTCACTTTAAAACTCTATGCTCTGCCTTTCTGTAAAATTCAGGTCTGATTTCAATATTTTGCCCCCCGTCCTTTCTGATCATGTTGACTTTGAAGCAGAAATGACTGTCTCCTTATGTTACCAGCTGCTGCACACATTAGGATCACTGAAGCCTCATGTTTGGATAGTTTAAAATCAAAGGCCAGTTTTTATTCACTTGCATCCCCCTTCATCTGAATACAATTAGGAAAGGCAATAAAGAGAAACAAGTGGAATCAAATTTGAAAATGTCCTTATTTAAGCTTGCCCGATTATCAGATTTGATGGACCGACAATGCTTTTCGATAAACCCCCTGGAATGGTTACATTATAAAAGTTTATAAGTAAATCAGACAGGCAGTAAAAGTAGAGTCATGTGAAAAAGAAAGTAAACCCTCTTCCAATTCAATGGTTTTACAGTTCAGGACATAAATAACAATTGTCTCATCCTTACCAACGTCTATAATTAGACATTTCTAGCCTCAGATAACAGAACACGTAACAGATTTCACTATGTCATTATTTAATCAACAAAAAGTAAGCCAAAATACAGAAATCATGTGGGAAAAATTAAGTACACCCTTACTGCTTCCATAGGAATTAAGAAGGTAATGAGCAGCCAAGTGCTGCTAATCAAATGCACTTGATTAATTGATCATCAGGAAGTATGACCACCTCTATAAAAGCAGAACTTTTGGCAGTTTGGTGTTAACACCACGCCAAGGAGAAAAGACCCCAGCAATGAACTCGTAGAAGCAATTGTTGCTGCTCATCAATCTGGGAAGGGTTATAAGGCTATTTCCAAACAATTTGAAATCCATCATTCTACAGCGAGAAGGATTATTTACAAATGGAGAACATTCAAGACAGTTGCCAATCTTCCCAGGAGTGGGCGTCCCAGAAAATGCTCAGAGAAATTGCAAAGAACCCAAGAACTACATCTAGGGATCTAAAGGCCTTGGAAAACATGTAAAATATTAAAGTTCATGACAGTACGACCAGAAAAAGACTGAACAAGTATGGCTTTCATGGAAAGGTAGCCAGGAGAAGGCCCCTTCTCTCCAAGAAGAACATGGCAGCACGGCGAAGGTTTGCAAAGTTGCATCTGAAAAAACCACATGATTTCTGGAACAATGTCCTTTGGACAGACGAGACCAAAGTGGAGATGTTTGGTCATTATGCACAACGCCATGTTTGCCGAAAACCAAACACAGCGTAGCACCACAAACACCTCATACCAACCGTTAAGCACAGTGGTGGAGGGGTGATGATTTAGGCTTGTTTTGCAGTCACAGGACCTGGGCACCTTGCAGTCAACGAGTTGACCATGAACTCCTCTTAATATGAAAGTATTCTAGAGACAAATGTGAGGCCATCTGTCCGACAGCTAAAGCTTGGCCAAAACTGGGTCATGCAACAGGACAATGATCCCAAGCACACCAGCAAATCTACAACTGAATGGCTGAAAAAGAAAATAATCAAGGTGTTGGAATGGCCAGGTCAAAGTTCAGACCTCAACCCCATTGAAATGCTGTGATGGGACCTTAAGAGAGCCGTGTATAGACGAATGCCCTCGAACGTCATTGAACTGAAACAATGCTATAAAGAAGAGTGGGCCAGAATTCCTCCAAAACGATGACTGATAAACTCATACAGGAAACAATTACTTTAAGTTATTGCTGCTAAAGGTGGTTCTACAAGCTACTGAATTATGGGGTGTACTTAGTTTTTCACACATGGTTTCTGCATGTTGGCTTACTTTTTGTTAAATAAATAATGACATAGTGGAATCTGTTACTGTATGTGTTCTTTGTCACCTACGTTAGATTTATCTAAATTTTAGGACCTGGTAAGGACCAGGTGATTTTTTGTTATGTCCTGATATATAAAACCATAGAACTGAAAGAGGGTGTATTTTCTTTTTAACATGACTGTATATCTATGATCTATGAAGCCTTATATATATCTAGACAGAAGAAAAACATCAAGAAAGATTTCAACATCCCAGCATCATGATGATGATGATGATGATTGTTTAACCACTAAAACTTGCTATTTGGAATTTAAAAAATACACAGATATAACTTCTGTGGAAAAGGCAGTCAGATTGAGAGCACCATCTTTAAGGCTCAGACACTGGTGGATGAAAGAATGTTTTTTTTTTAAAAAAAAGGTCTGCAGCAATTAAAAGCACGCCAGAGAGCTTCCCCCCAATACGCAATATTTCAATGGAGAAAGGTCCCTGCCTCGTTCGCACAGGAAACCCCCCGGCCCTCCCAGCGACAGAGCTGTAAATGTGACAGAGTTTAAGCCGCTGTGAAGCTCACCAGGTTTCTCTGTGGGACAGGGGGGCAGGGCGTGCGAGGAGGACAGGGGGACCCCGGGCCTGGCGTGGCTGGAGGCGGGGGCAGACTGCGTGCACTTCACCCTGTCCGCCCAGCTGGGGCCGCTAGGAGCGAGGCGCGTTGCTGCCAAAGTGGGTGGTGGGCCCCTAGAGGAGGAGGAGGAGGAGGAGACTGAATCAGGTTATCATACCCCCACCCCACTGCAGCACAGGGAACAGACCACTGCAAACCGAACAGGGAAAAGGACAACAAGAGCACTGCACTGACAAGACTGAAGGTTCTGACAAAGCTGGCCCGTTGTGGGCAGCATTCATTGTTCTCCTGGCATTTTACACTTAATTTAAATCAGTAAAAGAGAAAACAGAACAATGGGTTCTAATGATACCACATCTTATTATACAACGTTGAATGACTGATGTACAGTAATTGCTCGTTTAATAGCAAAGGTAACAGTGGCTGAGGAAACTAAGCCTTCATGCAAATACCAGCTGCCACTGTTTTCAAGACTGTGGTTCCACCTTATGCTCCTCCGAAACCTCCATTATCCTCGCGTGCTGCATTTTATGGACAACTGAAATGTGAAATTGGGCAGTCACAGCTAGAGAGTAGTTCAAGTGAAAAACGTGAAAGTTGTTAAAATGTGACAAAAGTGAAAGAAGATAAGCAGAGCACTAGACAATAAAAGTCAATCATTGCAGACTAATAATTCTTAGGACTCTGAGGATTCTTGAAAAATGTCATCATGCAGAAAGCCTTACGTTTATTGCAGCTGTTATACAACATTCTTAAGCATCTCAGGTGGAGGAATAGGAAACTCCTGTGCTAAATTAAGTTAAAAGTTCAAGATCATTTATGTATGCTATTATTCCAACCACATGCGAATCTTAATCTCTTTAGATTTACTGTAGATGACAGTACTGTAACACTAAAATTTGCAGACTGCCAGAAACAAGTTCCGGAGTGCATTATGTTCCTATCTGACTGCTTTTTGCAAAAAACATTAAAGAATCACGGCCTCTAAGCTGTTTGTGACCTGTAAGAATACAGCACTCTGCCTGTTCGGAAAGGATAAATGGTAATTTTAGTCGACAGTACTCCATTATAATCAATATCTATTTCCTGCAGCATCAAATTACAAAATAATGTACATATTGAACCAATGTTTCAGCAGTCTTTAACCACAATTATATCTGAACCGCCCTTTGTTTCTGTGTTTAAGGAAAGAAAATCCCTGGAAATCACATTAAACAAATGATTTTCTTGCAGCTATTGATCCTTCTTTTACTAGAGGGTGTGCAACGTCTACCAGGCAAACACCACCAAATTAGTGCTTGGACATTTTAGATCTGTAATGGATTTTTTAACAGTTTAATGTGCTTTTAATCTAATTAGGAATGTTATTGTTATTTTTCCCCCTGAAATCAGCAATTATGATTTAATGGCTACAAACACTATCATCAAACGTCAATGTATGAGCTGGAATTAACACTGTGCATTGTGTAACACAAGCTGAGCACAGCAAAGACCAGCAGACAGACCTACAGTACACTTCATTCATTCCAAATACAGTTCTAGAGAGCCTCTTTTCTCTTGCAGCATTTCTTTTCAGTACAAAGTAGTCAAGCTAAACGGGGTTAGACTACTGCAAAAAAAACTAACAAGGAAAAGCATAAAATTGATCTTTTAAAAATAAAATAAACCACAGTTGAAGAGTTGTTCATTTTTCAAAACATGACTACCCAATGGTTAACCAATTTAAATATAAGAAAGGTGTAAAACCTACAAATTAAGAACTGATTACAGTAAATTGAATTTACCACACTTCGGCATAGCTGTGCCTTTTATGTTATGAAGTACAATTTAACAGCGGAGGTAACACAACTGGATTGTGAGCACCAGCTGGAAGCCTTACCCAAAGTTTAGGGACCTCCGCGCGCTGGGCGATGGGTTGATTCGATCAGTAGACGGGCTAGATATCACGTGACGCCCAGGAGACATCTTGCGTACTTCCCAAGCCAGAGACGTGGGTCTGAGACGATTACAAAGGAGTCAAACTACTGCGAGAAAAGCATCAGATTCTAACTGGATTGTCCATCTATCAAGGCAGGGCAACACAGTTAGACCTGCCCTGAAGCTATGCCATCTGGTTTCTACTTTATGATGTAGCCTGGATAGCTCATCGTAACATTCAACATGTTTAAATTTCCGATACCTTGTGTACTGCAATCAAAGCTTATCCTGCTGGTTAGAGAAAACTATGGATTTTCAAATGTCTCTCCCATTTTCTACATTAACTCTCCCAAGCATTCAAGAAAGAAGTCCTGTAGAGTATTTTCCACACAATGAATATGTAATGAGTCCGCACAATTGAGAAAGATTTTCCAGGTCCCTATGTTTACAATGCCATGAAGAAACATTTACACTGTCTCAGCAAATAAAATAAATGCAATTGTTTTATTATATATATGCACACACAACAGTATTCTTTGTATGTACTGTATATTAAAAAAAACGATTTCCTGTATGTTCTGATGATTTGACTCGCATCACTTTTTATCATGAACCCCTCTCTTCATGGAAGTGCACTTACAACCAAGAACAGGAGGCATGTCTGCATGCGAAGGGTTAAGGGAGTATGCAACAAGCATCCCAGACAGAAGACCATACACTGGCTTCCTGCAGGAAATGGCAGGATGAGATCCTTGGATCAATTAGCTACTAAATACCGAACGGGCCAGGTGGGCTGAACGGCCTCCTCTCTTTAGTAACCTTTGCTTTTATCTGGGCATCTTTCCCTCAGAACTAGAGTTAAGAACACAATAATTTTGTGTCATTTAGGTGACACTGGTTTTCCCAATGGGAAAGAAAACACTTGGCCACCAGCATAAAGAGTCACAGCAAATGGGTATGTCAGAGAAATGGACTGAGAAATTTACACAGTACCATTATTGATTTACGGTAAGTCTTTAGTAAAGCAAAACAAGTTTCATCCCTCTGTCGGGATTCTAGTACTGAACTTCATATAAAGGTAACAAGTCAATGCATATTCATAGATTTAACATGTTCTATTTGTCAGTCTCCATCAATTTATGTGTTCAGCAGTCATTCGAATCTACTGCCAAGGTGAGGCAGTGAATTTGCCGACTCTGAACTGGCTTCCCCTCAATTAGCAGCACTGTGCCGTTTATTAGTAGACACACAGGCATTGCCTGTTTTGGCTTTAAGCGTTGTGCAGATGAAAATACTCAGTTTCCCACTCCAGGAATCTACCTGTTCTGGGCATCGGTTTTCTCCAGCTTCTCCTGGAGCTGTATCCAGTCAATTAAGGCTTTGAAGTCCCGTACATAGTTGTCCAGCATCATCAGCACCTCCTGAGGAAGAAGGAGACCAGAATAGCACATTGATAAGATGGAAGACCGTGACATCTCCCTTGGCTTGTAGCATTCAGCTTCTGCAAAATTCACCAGTTAGGAAGAGCTTTCCAAAAAGCTGATATGAATGGGCAGTGCTGACAGCATTTGAGAGAATTTAACACATCTTATCTTGACTCGACAAAAAATAGCAAAGCACCTGGCTTTTTTACTACCCAGACGCATTCCTGGAAAAAGCAGAATATTTAAACATCAAAGAGAAATTAAACTGAAAAAAAAAATGTGCTTTTGGAAAAAGCAGGTCATTATTAAAACAGTTTAAGCAGATTATGTAAAGATTTAAACACTCGGTCAGACTAAGGAGATAAAAAAATCCATTTCATGTTTTGCCTCCATGTCTAAACACAGACTAGGCTGTACTCCAGTTTAATCTCAGAGCTATTCAGTGATAAAAGAAAAGTGTTTAGAAGATGACACTAATAGCAGAGGCAGAGTGGTCCTTGGACTGAGATCCCAGATTAGCTGTCTGAGCATTGTCAGAGCGTTTTAAAGATCTTGCACCCTGTCACCCTAGCGACACACTATGCCAATACTTTTGGTTCGACAGCAGACAGATGGGTATACTGAGTGCTGTGCTTTCTCATTCAGAGCAGGAAAGAAAGATGCAAAGGTCACAGAGGTTATTTCCCTCTCAAATTTGAGACTGATGCCCTTCAAGGTCTCAAAGCGTACTTGGCATTTTCCCTGGAATTTCCTGCCTTTTGAGGACACCTTAAAAATGGCAAACTAAGAGCCGAATTTGCAGAGTTTGTAAACTGCAGTGAATTCAAACATGCCAGGATTACATAACAGCCCTTGCCCCCTCGAAAACTAAAAGTTTCAAAAAGCTGATTACACGGCCTGCCTCAAATAATTAAATCCTAAAACTGTAAGGAAGTTGGGAAATGCGTCTTACTCAAGATTCACTTCCCATGCTTTTCAAATACACTTGAAGGCCTAAAAAGAGAGGGTAAAATAAAATTACAAACCGCACTGAAACAATATTCCTGCTGGAGAAGAAAGGGCTTGATACCACATTCTAGGCCCCCACCACTGGCTACCCCACCCAAAACCCGGAATACAGTGCACCTCCCTGACTGAGCACGGAGAAAAGCCATCTACTCCTTACTCAATGGCCCTGTTTGGGGGGGAAAATGGCCCACTGGGTTTGAGGCCTCTCTCGCGGGCCGCCCCGGAGCTGCAGTAACCCGAGCCCCCGGCTGCCGAACAAGGAAGCGCAAGCGAGACGGGCAGCTGGAGCGGGCTCACACTCGCTGGGGCGCGTCTCTCCGGCCACACAGCTATGAAGGCCATTTTGTTCAGGCAGGCCGGGGGAGAACAAAAGACCCTCAGAAAGCGCCTCCCCGGCCCCGCAGATCACAACGTCTAGATGTACAGCTAAAATTACCAATTAGTTCACCAATTGGCTGCAACGAATTCGATTGGTTTGTAATTAATTCTAGTTACTGGCGCGTAGAGCAGGATGGATGGCGCCATCCCTTTGTCCTACTGACACACAATACAGGAGAGCTGGACCCAGGGGAAGCTGTGGACATCAATAACGCTCTGCAGCTCACCTACAGGAGCAGCGCTGCCACGGGGACAGTACAGCGCTCTGCCGAAGGGGAAAGGGGGAAAAACTTCCAACCACATGAGAAGGTGCAGACCAAAAAAAGGGATCTTTTTTTTTTTTTTTGCTCTCTCTCTCTCTCCCCCCTCTCTCTCTCTCTCTGCCAGGCTGTGAGAGCGGGAGTGAGGCAGCCCCAGCGGAGGTCAGACAGCTCATTGATACCTCTCGCGCTGAAGGTCAAGTCTGGCACGCAGGGGGGGGGAGGGAGAGGGAAGGTGGACGATCGATGGAGAGATAAAAATAAAAAGGTGAGTGGGGTTTTTTTTTGTCTTTTGAACAAATGAGTGTCTCGGAAAAGTAAACGCAGATGTGAGTCAATGCGAGAACCTTTTCTTTTGTACGATTTGTACGATTCGTTTAGTAACCGTTATGACGATTATCAATATTATTTCTTTTGCTGCTGCAATTCTTAACTCCGTCAGAGGACTGCTAGGCAGAGTGCAACCGGCACCCAAAAACTCAAAACAGTGATCTTCCACGCCTTTGGGATGCCCTTTGCTTCCTCTTGCACTATTAAATGAGCAACTGAAGTTTGGATAGCAGAGGCGTGCTCTGGAATTCTGGTCTTCTTCTTCTGCTTTTTTGTTTTTCCAAAACATTTGCAGATTCCTTCTAGGAAAACTGCAACACTTAAAAGGGAGCAAAACAAATACAGCCCTTTAAGAAGACGCTAGGCAGAAACTCTTGAAGAGAAAACAAGATGATTTATTGGAAGGATATGGGGAGTGGTAATTGGAAGTAAAGCTCTTTGGTGCTTTTAGTTAACAGGCAAGTCAAGCAGTGCAAGATGTGACAGGCACCACCAATGCATATAAGATATAAGAGATAGTTAACAGCACCCAGGTCCTGCTGTGCGTTCATTCAGTAGTGTTCTGGATCTGCAGTTGCCTATAAGATACAGTTTGTAGTTGTGATGGCTGCAGTGGCACAATAAAACTAATGCTTCTTGCATGTGCAGTATTAAAAGCTATCAGACAATTTCAGTACAATCCACAAAAATATCAAAGGATGTTCCAAAAGAAACTTCATCGAAGGGCTCAGGGATTGCAGAACGTCAGTACTTACTAGCCAGGCTAAGTAATTTTCCTACCAGGAATGGCAAAATTAAAGATGGTCAGTCAGAAAAGCAGCAGGTCACTCATTTCTATGCAAGACCACACTTTGAGCAACTAGAAATACAACAATACATCATGCATCGATTAATTGTGCTCTGTCTTTTATATAATGTATCACATGAAAGCAATATGGTTTGTGAAATACGATCAAACGCCATGCAGATGGATTGCACACAACACCCCACCCCCCGCATAAGGAAAAGCATCTCCTAAATGATTTGCAAAAATCCACTTCTCCCACCATGTGTAATCTTACAAATTTTTAGGGATAGTTTTTTGTGCAATTAAAATGTCAAAAGGCTGATTTTTGTTGGCCAGAATAGTCATATTGCATCATGACTGTAATGTAATAAAAAGTGAGCTCTAAATAAATGCCCGTCTAAAGTCAGTTTTGTCAGGGTTCCTTTCTAAATATCTCTTAATTTTCTCAATTTTATATCCCAGCAAGGAAAATACCAACTCCTACTCTGCCAAGTATAGCATAAGTTATGACTCTATTAGAATGAACACTTGATAAGAGCTAATTAGGCCTTTAGACTCTGGGTTAAAGAGGTTTCAGCATTATTAAAATAAAATAATAAAATCAGCTTTACCAGCCTCATTCAGCAAGAGTGGCTCCTGGCGTTTTGTACGTTGAAAAGCTTTTGCTGGGACACTCAGAGTTTTATGTAGTTTTATCAATATTTAGAAGGCAAATAGCTATAAGCATCTAGCTTGTTTTGACGGATCTCATTCCCTTCTTCACAAACCAAAATTCAGCTCTTTTGATATTGAAACACAGTAGAATATTGGTATTATCTGAAACTGTCAAAAGAGCACCAAAACAAGAAATTTAATTCAGGGTCTGATGTGCTTGCAACATCATAAAAAAAAACAGATTGTATATCCTTCCCATTATTGGTAAGAATCTCAGAATTGATTAAATTTAAAAATTCCAACACACATTTAACTTGTGCCTCCTAATGTTCAATGATCTTAAAAGAAATGGACAACGGAGGGATCAAAAAGTGAACTTTAAAAGGGTGGTGCACTCCCCCACCCCCATCACCAGACTTCGGTTTACAGACCGCGGCGCAATGTTTGTGTTTGTGCACGCTGCTTGAGCACACAATGCAGTACTTATAAAACTCCAGGGTATCGTCAGCTGAGAGAATCAAAGCGCTCTGCTCCCCCTAAGGCTAATTTCGCCATTTATCAGGGAGTCCATTAGCCTGCAGCATGCGCAGGGCGACAGCGGAGGCATGTGTTCGCGGTGGCGAGCGCTTGAGCGCGGAGCCATTAGAAGGAGCGACGGGAGCGAAGCCCGAGGCGCGGCCCGGCCGGCGGAGGGGGAAAGTGTACACAGCAGCTGATCCCCTTGCGCTGCCCCGGCTGTCTGCCTGCTAACCGCAAGCCAGCTCTCGGCAGGCCGACCACAAGCAGTCAACAGAGCCTCGGAGCACCGGCACAGAGCTGAACATTATCCTCCGTGACACTCCAATCGATAATCATGCACACCGCCGCCTGGCATAACAGAAATGTAACGGGTATGTATACCTGCGCAAAAATAAACAAACAAGCTCGGCAGAAACAGCCTTCTTGTTAGATACCTCTCGGAGATACCACGGGAACAATGAAATAGCCGAAACAATAACGAAGGTTCGCGAAAAATGAAAATCCTATCAACTGACAAAAAAGATTTTTTTCCCCCAAAAGAGCACAGAGTGCGCACCACGCTAGTGGGTATTTTACTGCTATGAGCACCATGCAATGACCTGTTGTCTTTTAACCCGGTGTCCATCTATACCTCTGTTTAACAGATTAAACAGAGGTATAAACTCGTCGTCCTCGATTGTTTGAGGGCATGCGGCTGTAAAAATGCATTTTGTAATGAGAAGGATGCCAAGGGCTCTGCAGGGTTTAATCAACAGGCCCTGCGGTGGGACAGGATTCTGGCACAGCTTTGTTGGTTGAAACTTCAGGGTCCGGCCTTCTTGTTTCACTGAGCCCATGTCAGATGGAAGCTGGATTCCCAGCGTCTTAATTTTGGCCTTTTGATCCATCAATTATTTTACTTTGTCTTTTCACAGCCCTGTGCTTTATTTAATTATACTACTGACTTCAGCACACCTCTCTCAAATAACCCGTCTGATCTAAATGAACAACAAAAGGTACATGGACTCTTTAAAATCCAGTTTGTGAAATTCAAAGCTCCCAGGATCTCATGTACTATGAGAATAAAATCCTAAAATGGTACTTTTAGGAGTATGAGGACCATCAAGTCCACAGAGACAGTCTGCCATCGTAGGCACAAATTTGCCTACAGGTAGGACTTTTTCAAAAACCAGACAGTACCGGACACGAAGGGTAAAAACATCCTAACACCAGAAATGGTATGGATTATTAAATACAAAACACAGCCAAAGCAAATTACACAGGTCATTTTAAAATGAAAGAGTGTTTTTCACATTACAATCACGTTATTGTATGGCGATTACACTTGTAATGCCAAACTGTCTTAAGATGAGAGTACAAAAAGCTGCACTCTCTGATTTTTCACATAGAGCTGCATGTCTACGCAAGGGCTCATGTCAGATCCATGTGTGAAAACGACAATCTGTACTTTTAATTTACTGTGACTAAACTCACTAACGTTATTAGGCATCAAAATGTAATGAATAAACTGGTCTCAGGCGCATAGCTAGCAGCACTTGCGTAGCTGTAACTGTGGGTGCAGATTTCACAAAGGCTGCACAGAAACAGACGGCCCCTCTGCACAGAATGAAAGAACTCAGATTACAGCGCTAAAGGGTTAGTATTCCGATCTAACGTGAAGTTAAGCTGTCTTGCAGGATTTAGGCTCATTAACAGCCCCAAGATGTCCAAAGAGCATTTGACACAAAGCCCAGACAGAGTACCTCCCCTTCACCCGCGACTGCTTTCAGTTGCACAAACCAAAAAAAAAAAGAGTAAAAGCAGATAAACAGCATATTAAACCTTAACCCTGCAATTCATTATTTTTGCATCAATTTAAAACAAGAGCAATTAGCTGAAAACACTGTCCACTGCTGTTGAACCTTGCTACTCCTCACCAGGTAAATACAGGCAGTGAACTGCAGGAAAGCAGTGATTCAGGAGCTACAGCTTTTATTAGATTTCAGAAAGGTAAAAGAGGGGGGGTTTTTGAAAATGGAAATGCTGCTAACACTGCGTTTACCATTTAAGAAAAATAGATGTGCCACACTATACAGACTGGCTAAACTTCCCCTGGGGGCACTTTCCCTCCGGTGTGGTGAAAAAAAACGATATTAGCCATTAGAAAACACCTTTCAGCAATCTCCCACCCACACTCTGTTTACACACTGTCATCAATCTCCCCTTTTCCACCAGTGCGAGGGGAGCACAGTGATAATTCTCTCACCGGGACGTGTGTGCTGCACTCCGTTTGACATAAACCAGAAAACAAAAGGAATGTGCAGGAAAAAAAATGAAGTAAAAAAAATCTCAACAGCGCCATCTACTGTTCTAAACAAAACCCCCACCAGGTGGGAATACCTCCTTCTAGCCGATGTCTGCAGCTACACTTCACCCCAGGTCAATACTATTCAATGGGGATTGTGAATCTCTTTCACTGAAGTGCTCATTCTTCTGTCGAATTCACGTGGTGTAACGCTACCGTTAACTGCTCCACAACTAGGAGGAGCAACCCTGTTGACTCCTGAAGATCAAGTTTACATTCTTCTTTCTCCTTCAGCTGCCTGAATAAAGCAGCCCCTTGCGTTTCTGGCAGCTGAAGTCATAACTGTGTCAAAGGCTAGAGGGCCCGGGTAATTTAGCGCTGTGTCCCAGACACCTCCGGGTCGCACCTTGCATTCCACAACGCTCTGGTCCGACTCGCACGTGACGTAGATCTCGTCCACGGCCCGTCGCAGGTTGTCGAAGAGGAAGGCCCAGTAGCGGGCCCTCAGGTCCACCTTCCGAGGCTGCCTGGCCTTGGTGGGGCTCTTGTCCGCATTCTTGTCCAGAGAGACCCCTGCATTCTGCAAGAACAACACCGGAGAATTTCCCATGTATTAAGGCCATTTCCACGCTCTGGATTATAAAACATGTAAAACCGTCATGTCTCCAATCCTCATCTTTAAACCACCATTTTCTAAAGCCTCTAGAGGTTTTTAAATTTAAACTGTGATCAATTAAACAGGTGGTATGTCACTTTAGGTTATTTAGGGATTGCCTGGAACAAAATTCAAAATGACCTCCAAGAACCAATATTACCTTCACTGAAGCAAACTTAGCAAGCATTAAGCAAACTGATCAATTGCTTATATAAGTGTTCCTGATCTCTTACTAACAGGCGATGTTGGATGACCTATAAGAATAACTGGATTGCGTCTCTAAGGGACCAGGGTTGGAGACCCCTGGTGTAGATACAATTAGTCAATCTTTACTGCACCTCATCGACATTGTTCAGAAGAATAGGATTTTGGTATTTGTGTGCATCACTGGAGTAATTTTTCAGTACTTATAGGAAAATACCCTTTACAAGGTCTTTAAAGGGTGGAATTCATTTAGGTGTTCCATTTCCTCAATTTCCAAACCTGCTCTAATTACAGTGTCGAGGAGGTCAAATGTGTTATTTTAAAAACTCAATCACTCTCTGGAATAAAATTGTATCTGATGATTACAAACATACAAAAAAGCAGCCCCGAGAAAGCAGACAGCAAGAGACTGTCCTGGGGAGCTCATGCGAAGAGCTGAACATTCGTACTCACAGACTCTTTCTGCGCTGTTTGTTGAAACAGTGTAAAGGGGGTGAAATAAGCTTGTCTGGAGACAAAGAGGTGTGTTTGTCCTCTTACTCCAACGAAACCCTTCTCATAGTGAACTGCTTTGCTCTCCCTCCTCAATCAGTACAATACCACAGAAAAAAAAATGTCCTCTCCTACATCAGAACAGAAATGAAAGTATAAATCCAGAACTGAAACAGCCGTCATCCTGAAGAAACAACATCGTTTAGACCCATGAGGGCTTGCAACTGTGGAATAGCTAAATCCACTTAGCAAATTAGCAACTTCCCATGTTCAGAAGGACCGACGAAGAGACCACTTGTCTACTATGCAGTCCGGAACACGGAGCAGGGCCGCCTGGCAGGACAGACACAGAGACCCCTCGTCTATAAACCGGTCGAGAACACAGAGCAGGGCCAGGTCTGGCAGGACAGACCCGGAGACCGCTCGTCTATAAACCGGTCGAGAA